TAGAAAGTCCTCCTTAAATCCCAAAGTTGTATAAACTGAACATACATGTGTTTCCTGTGCTAAGAGGGTCTGTCATTAGAAAAAAGATAATAGAAAGATACTAACAGTTTGCTCAAAAGACAAAACGGATAGAATCTTATTTAACAAGTTTGGTGTTGCCGACTTCCTTAGTGGTATATAGAACAGAATGGGGTATATCTGCATGTGTGTTTTTGACGTTGTTTATATAAAGCAGATAATATGTGTACTTTGTATTTGTGAACAACTGGAGTGTAAGGGAGATGGCTTTGTAACAAGGGTTTCTTGGTTTCAGAATTATTGCTGGGGATCGTGAATATATATATTGTACTGCATTGTGCTTATCTCCTGCTTTATCTGTATTTGATATAAAATTCTTGAGAAAACTTGCTGCCTTTCAAACTGTTTTCTTTGGGATGAGGTTTAAATCATAAATTGGGCAAAAAGGGGCTTCTGGTCCCCAGAACTTTGGGGTTACAAACTGAACTTGGAGCTTTAGAATGGTAGTGACAAAGGCTCTGAATTATTAATGCCTTTGTTTTAGGGAATCTTCCCAATCTCCTGTGATAGTTAGGTGGTTAATGCAGTCAAAGTGACGAATCAGAAAGATTTGTTAGAATATGCTATACCCAACTCTCATGAGAAGAGGGAGGAAGGGGAGGCTATGAGAGAGAATTGTGGAGGGAGAACAGGAGGAAGGAGGCAGTTTTATGGGGACAGTTGTACAAAAACAGGTTGCAGAGAGAACAAGCTAGACACAGGTGAAGAGAGAAGGAGCTAGAGAATGAGCAGGAGCCAGAAGATTAGAACAGACTGTCAAGGGTAGTTTGCTGCAAAGCAGAGCAATTTAAGAGAGGCTTAGAGAGAAAAGCCAGATTGTATCAGTGTGAAGAGGTCTTTGAGCCACAATAGCCGAGTTGACCAGCCAGCCAGAGCTCAGAAAGAACAAGGAAGAATGAGCTTATTCAGCAGTAAGTGTCAAGGCTGAAGACATTCTAGGCCTAGATAAGATTGTACAGAGGCTAGAAGCTTCCTGCACTAGGCCTGGGTTAGCAGACAGAGGCAGTGAGCCTCAGAGACAACAATTACTCCAGGTGAATAAGAGATACTTTTACAGTAGAGCTAGGAGTGTGGGGACTTACATGGAGATCATAGTGGGAACCAGTCTCTTTAAAAACCAACGTATACTAGAAAGACACATATTTAAGTAAATAAAAATAATTCTAATTGGTGTTGGCCGAATAGTTTTTGCTTTAAAATGATAATGGTACTTGGTCTCAAAACTGTGACAATCTTTTCTCAACAGGAGCCAATAAGCCAGCCTACTATGTGGAAGTCACTTACCTTGTTTTTTTCATGTACCTCCTGTATCACTCAGTTTGATATCCAAGGCATGGTCTTAGGCGTGCTTCTCACCACTAGTCAAGTAGCTGGGGCTACCACGTGTGCACCACTACACCTAGACTCATTAATACGCTTCTGTTGTATGTGGGGAAGTTGTAATCCAACCATTTTACCTCAAGGATATTTCCAAACAACAAAAGGTTAAGAGCTTTAACACACTTTGCCTTTATTTACTCTTGATCATTTGTAGGCTTGGTACCAATTTTAATGCATGTACTGCTTGTGGGAAAATGAGGAAATAAGGAAGTAAGAGACTCACCAACAGATTTCCACTACTTTCCTAGATTTTACCCTTTGTGATTATTTTCACATATATGTATGTAATAGAAAAGATAGAAATGTAATTTAGTATGACTATTGATCTGTAGGATTTTGTGTCAGTTCATTGGCTAGTCTATTTAATGCTCGTACTTTGTTTATTGCATAGTTTACATGCATAGCAGGTCACAATTTCTAGCAGTGTTGCAGGTTCTGATAATTTCTAGGGAATCCTTGTGCATTAAATTAGATAAACCTTTTGGTGAGATTTTTGTCAGAGTGGTAGAATTTTCATTGGAGTTAATTATTAATGAGTCTGTTGCCATTAGAATGCAGAATTTAAGTTTATAGTCTAAACTGGTTTCTGGTGAAAAGGTTATTGATCTGCAATAAAAGGAAAAGGATAGTGTAGGTAGTTTGTTGCAAAGCTAAATTTATACCCTGTACTCTGTTTGTGGATTTGCAGAGCTGTATTGAAGGATAAACTTTTTGATGTTTGTGGTGCTATCCAGTGAACTCAGAGATGTATGCTTGCTAATTAATCGCACTCGACTCTTTTTAGTTTTTTTTTCAAGATAGGGTTTCTCTTTTTAGCCTTGAGTGTCCTGAAACTTGTTTTGTAGACCAGGCTACCCTCAAACTCAGAGATATGCCTACCCCAGCCTCCTGAGTGCTGAGCATGTGCCACTACCACCTAGCCCTACTATGGGTTCTTAATGTAGCCTGTACCGATCTCAAACTCTCAAACTCACAGTGTAGCCAAAACTGGTCTTGGATTCTAGATCTTCCTGCCTTTGTCTCTGGAGTGTTAGGATTACAGGTGTTCTTTAGATTAAAAGTTATCCTGGCATCTGTCCCTGCTTAAACTTCATGGGCAAGAATAGTCAGGTTTAACTAGTATCCTAAATTTGATTGCCATTTCTAGGATACAGGGTATTTTGAACATGTTTAACCAAGTTTAAAAGAGAAAAACCAGTTATGGTGGCTCAGACCTGAAATCCCAGCACTTGGCAAGTGAAGCAAGTCATCTTTAACTACATAGAAAGTTTGAGGACAACCTAACCTTTAGGAGACCCTCTTAGAGGCAAGTCTAAGAATTTCATAGTGGCTAAAGATGTGTCTGCCTTTTAACCTCTTGGCTTTGCACTGTCCTTTGTTAGTTCTATGCAGTTCTGCATATGAAGGAAACAGATTGGTCAAAAATACAGATAAGCCTGTTTCTCAGGAGTCTAAAGTAGAAAGCTTGAGGATTTGAGGCCAGCTCAGGCTGTGTCTCAGGATGAGTAAAGAGAGAGGGGTAGATGTTACTTAGGTGGTGGAGCACAGGGCCGTCCTTTAATCCCGAGTCCTGGGAGCAGGGTGTACTGTTGCTTACCTCCCTGCTTCTAGAGACTCCTCACCAGGACCTCCCTCAGGGTTTCCTGGCTTACCCCACTGCTCTACCGAGTCTTCTCATTTGCTGTCCACGTGGACTCTCCAGTTGTACTGTGTATCTTACACAGAAGTTAGTCCTAAGTGACCATGGTGAGTATTTCAAGATGGATGGTCCTGGAGATGCTCCAGCTGCTAATGTTTCAAACAGATCTTAGAGCCTATCATTCTCACATGGATTCAGAGCTAGTTTAGTGTGGCCTTGGTAAGCCAGTGGCAAACCAAGCCTCATTGTATGGGAAGTTCCAAGAGTTATAATCTGTGTCTGTGGCTTAAATCACAATAAATTAAATCACAATAGCATTTGGGCATTAGTGAATGGCAAACATTTCCATTCCTTAGAAATTGTGGCTCATTTACCTTAATTTTACAGGAAACATTTAAGAATTTCCATCTATCTGCTCTGGAATTCAGTATTTGCTTTCTGCTCGTACCCCTCACTACTATACACTTTTTCTGACATTGGGCTGGACCACTTTCCTCGTTGCTGTACAAAGCAACTTAAAGGGAAGGCTTGTCTGGCTCTCTAGTTGAATGCACAGTCCATGATGTCAGGAACATGAAACAGCTGTCACAGTCCTAACAGGAAGGGCTGGAAACACCCTTGTAGACATATGCAGGGGTATGTTTCCATGGGGATTCCAAATCCATTCAAGTCCACAGTGAAGAGTAAAGTATCTCAGTTGTTAACAAGCTAATGCAGAGTTTTCTTCCCCCAGCGTTGTGATAATTTAAAATTTGTATCTAGGTTGTTTTATTCCTTGGATTAGCTGCTGTGCTGCAGTACAGAATAGGATTCCCTTTGGTCTCTGGGTCAGCTTTTAACCAGTGTTTTCCAGAGTCAGTGTTCTGTCCTAGAGGCACAGAAGAGTATAATCCAATAAGGTCTAGTGGCCAGTCCTCGCTGTGCACCTCTAGACATGGGATTTAGCATTCTTGAGAGAATGGTAACATCACTCATACCTGGCTTTAATCAGCAGCTTGCCTTATTTTGTTTTGCAATTCTGGGTGGGTAAGTGCCTTACCATTGTGCCCTGTCTGCAGTATTAGCTAGCTCTTCCGACCCTCAAACAGAAGATTTGTGATTGGTTCATGATGATGATGATGATGATGATGATGCCATGTAACTATTAAACTGCCACATATACTTATTTTTCCTAAGTTACAGAGAAAACACTTAAATATTTTTTCATTTTCAAATTGCTAACTTCAAAATTGGAAAGGTTCAAAGTTACACTGTGTGCTTGCTTCATTTACTAAGATTTTCCCCAAGTTTGCAGCAGTGCCTCTCAAATCTACCCTCAATATTGGAAGCCAGAGTTCCTTTTTATTACTAAGAATCAAATAAGAATCCTTATTACTAAGAATAAGACCTAGTGAGTGGCAAAGAACAAAAGATAAAGCAGGAGAGGGAGAAATTGGGAAGGAAAGGAGTCAGAAGGAGTGGGGGAGGTTGGGAGGGAGCGTGTGTGTGAAGAGACAGAATGGGGCTTTCTTAATGCCCTTGGAGGCCAGAAGAGGGCATCAGATGCCGTGGAACTGTAGTTACAGACAGTCGTGAGCCACAGTGTGGTGCTGGGAATCAAACCCAGGAGAGCAGCCAGTGCTCTTAACCACTGTGCAGTATCTCTAGCCCCTTAATTGAGTGTTTTATTTGATTCTATTTTTGTCTTCTGTTAGCATGTCAATTATAAAATATTACAGTAAAATACAAAATATACTCTGAAGACAAAGACAGGACACCCCCACACACACACACATTAAGATTTTTAGAACTCTAACAAGTAAATGTTTCTTGAATATAGTAACTGGTAACTGAATGTTTTTTGGCTGTGTGCTAATTTTGTATTAAATAAAATGAAAATTTTTCTGTTTTGTTTGTACTGTAGGAGAATTTTAAACGCAAAGACTATATAGACCATCAGAAGGATAAAGTTGCTTTAACATTAGCTCGCCTGGCCCGCCATGTTGAAGTGGAAAAACAACAAAAAGAAGAGAAGAATAGGGCATTCAGGGTATGGGTGTGTTTTAATCGATATTTTTTAAATGTATAGAAGTATTAAAGATGTAAAGATATTTCCAAAAAAGAAAGAATTGAGTAATTATTCTACTTAAAGACATACAGAAAATGTCTTCTAGTTATTTTTGGTGTTTGTGGCTTTCTGTGTTTTATAATTTGTATGTGCATGGGCATGCCTGTGGGGAAGAGAGGTTGCCCTTGGGCTCTCCACCTTGCATTTTGAGACAAGGCTGATATTGGCCTGGTGCTCAAGGATCAGCCTGCTTTCTTGTAGAACCCAGGACCACCAGCCCAGGGATGGCAGCACCCACAATAGACTGGGCCCTTCTCTATCAATCACTAATTAAGAAAATGTCCTACAGCTGGTCTGATGAGGGAGCCATGTTCTCATTTAAGGTTCCCTCCTCTCTGATGACTCTAGCTTGTGTCAGTTGACATGAAACTATCCTGCACGCTCTTTCTTATGGAAAAAATCTCATTATATGGCTAAATAGGTTTTGAAAAATCTAGAGTCACTGGCTCTGGTTAATTATACCCAATACAATGTTAAGTGCTGCACAATAGGTATGACTCTATATTGTTTAGAGACTAAGAAAGAAGTTAAATACATGGTAGCACATGGTTGGTCACATACATGTATTAAGTGTGGATAGGAAGAGCTAAGTATATATCCATCTTTTCAGGAGTCACAATGTATTTATTTGTACATGGAGTTTTGTAAATGAAGCTTTTTTATGTTTAAAGTTGTGTTAGATGCTACAAAGCTCATTCACATACTATATGTGGGTGCTCTGACGCCGCAGCCGCAGGGGTGAGAGGTACTAGTGGAGGCTGCACACTGAGCAAGCCAAAAAACGTCTCCTCTGTGACTGTGTTCAAAGTGCAGGCCAACTCTCAGTGTAGGTAGTGACAGACACTTTGTGCTGCTATATAGTAAATGCTACTGAGGGCCTAATATTAATAGTATTCATTAGACAAGTATTCACTGAGTGCTTTTTTATATATATATATAAATCTATTAAATTTGAAAAAAACCTAAAATTTTAAAGATGTAAGTGATCCTCTATATTTACAGTCCAGTATTGCCTTAATAGTGTTTAGTTAGTTACTATCCTTTTTGATACAGTTCACATAATTCGAGACGACTCCTTCATTTGGTTCTTACTGTTGAGCATCATTTGGTGACCTACAGATATATGCTCTTGCATCAGATGTTTGCGTTGTAGTTTACCTACCCTCCTGTTGTTGATGTAAATATGTAGCAACTTCCAGCGAATAACTCTGGGCTCAACATCTTTGTACAGTACATAAAACTTGATTTTGACAGATGTATAATCTTTGGTTAAAAATATCTACATGTGGAGCTCTTGGGATAAAGAGTATTCAGTATTTTCTGATCACTGATAAATCAAGATCTTTTCACCCAAGAAACAGTAGCTACCATAAATCAACTGAATTTTTTCTTGTCTTTAGGAAACAATTGATTTTCAGCATGCTCATGGTTTACAAGAATTGGAATTTATTCAAGGACATTCAGAAACAGAAGCAGCAAGACAGTGTGTGGACCAGTGGCTAAAAATGTCAGGTATTTGTTAGACACACACATCACAGTTCAGAGGGTGTGGGTTTGATTCCATTGCTATGAGCGTAGACAGGTGGATGGACAGTCTGATGCAAGCATTGAGGATTTGATCCCTGGACCTCACATCAACAGTGCATGTGTTTGTAATCCTGGTGCTCTGGAGACAGAGACAGGAGAGTCCCAAGGCTCACTGGCCCGCCAGCCTAGCCTGCTCAGCAAGCTCAGGCAAGGGAGAGACCTTGTTTCCCAAAAGCTCTACAGTCCCAAAGAGATGACACTTAAACGACACCCAAGACTTTCTCCACATGTTATGTGCACATATCTGAACATGTACGTGCGTGTACACAGACACACACACACACAGAGTCTTAGTCACTAATAATACTGTTTTCCAGTGTTCTGCTTTGCTGTTGACTTCTTTGGCTCCTGAGCTCTTTAGATATTTATTAGAAGTTAGATCAACCAGTTGAAGAGTTTAGCTTAAATAAGAATTCAGTAAGAATTCAAGGGAAAGAGTTTTTCCCATTGATGTTTACTTTAAGGGAGCCTGATTGTGTTTGTGAGTCTAAGATTGCGAACACCTGATTGTAACTGGGACCCTCTCCTTGATGCTTTGCTCTCATTCCCACCGTTCTGTTATTCTGATGATCAGCCCAGTGCACAAGTCTCTGAGATAGTAACCTAGGAATTTGTGTTATGATGATGTAGGACTCAGAACAAGTGCAGTTAATTCTGGAACAAAAAGATCATTCCAAAGTGGAGGCAGGATGCGGAGGTCTGAGAAGCCAATTTTGTGTCCTATAATGCACTGTAACAAGGAATTTGACAATGGGCACCTTCTGTTGGGACATTTGAAAAGGTAAGTAGGGCACTCTGGATTCAAAGGTTAAAGGTTAGTCATCTAGGCATGGAGAGCCAATCCAGGGTCTCATTCAAGTGCGAACAGTCCTCAGTGATTTTTGTTCAGTGAAATGTGACATACCTTTACCAGTGTAGTTTTAGCTTATGATTTAAAACTCAACTTGTTTTTTTACTATTTTGATGTGTTATTTGGAATTTATATTTAGGTTTTCTAAAAAACTGGGTAAGATTTTAGGTTGTTTTTCAGCATTCTAGTGCAGTTGAAATAGTTGTAGAGACATCCAGCCTATAAATGTAAATTGGAGGAGACAGAGCATTCGAAGATACTGTGTCTATCCTATGTAATCTAGCATGGCCTTCTAAAGCATGTAAGTCAGTCTTTACAGTGACATGCTCTGCTGTGTCTCATTGTACTGATTGCTGAGCTTTCTAGTAGGTCATGAGAAAGCAGAGGGCTTTGTAGCCTCCTTTTCAGATAGCTGGAAGATGGGGCTTCCAGCCGTTTTCCTTTACAGATGTCTCAGAGAGACATACAATGCATCATGTGCTTGTGTGTGTGTTCATGTAGATCGGCTTCACAAGCAAGGCAAACTGGGTTGTCTCCTGGGAGAGAGGTCCTCCTGACTTCTCTCCTGACTGGATTTCTCTCGGTGTATAGGTTTGATCACTCCCCATGTGATCCCACGATTACGTTACATGGACCCCTCGCCAATTCGCTTGCATGTGCAGTGTGCTATGAGCATTTCGTCACTCAACAGCAGTACAAGGATCATCTTCTCTCCAGGGTAAGAGCGTGCTCTGGGAGGAGCTGTGCTTTGAACCATGGAGCTTGTGTAGGTTTGTTTTTCCTGTTGCTCTTAATCTTGCAGTCGCTAATGATGTACATAAAGATAGAAATTTAATTATTGAAAATAAAATGACTGGGGTGCAGGTTACTTTGGAGACTTAAGCTTCATAGCTAAAGTCCAGCAGTCCTCGAGATTACCATTAAACTCTTCTGTGGTGTTGATGTTTGAAACAACCTTACTCAACATGCTCATAACTTCAGTCAATGAAATTTCAGTCAGTGATAGGAAATTGCATCTTATCCTATTAAAAACTTATTTTAACTCATGTGTGCCCATGCATATACTCACAGAATTCAGAAAAAAACCTGTGTTGGATGCTCTAGCGCTGAAGCTGTAAGTGTTTGTGTGCTGTGCAGTGTAGGTGCTGAGGACGCGCCTGCTCCTGGAAAGAACACTGTACTCGCTCACCCACCGAGCGGGTTCTGCGGCCCTCACATTCAGTTGGTTCTCTCCTCTCTGATTTACATGGTGTCCAGGGATCAAACTCAAGCCATATCACATATCACTGTCCCTTGTATGTGTACCAGAAACATGATAAGATGAACCTTTCTGGTTTAACTTACTGTACATTCTACTTCCTATTCCTTCTCCCAAGTTTTGATGATTCTTGCAAACCTGCCATTCTTTTGAAGTAGACACAGTATAATAACATGTTATGTAGAATTGTACTTTGATTCTAGTGAGCAGATCCTTTAAGAGCTTTTACTTTGGATCTGCTTATAATGTGGAATCAAACTAAAATGTTTTCTTTACTTAAAGGTCTTAAAATACAAAAAAAAATTTTTTAAGAGTTTCTCAAATTAGGAGAAACTTGTAGATTTCCTTATTGTTCTTATCATGTAATTCAGAATGTCCTCCTAGATTTTTCTCCTGTGGAATTTATCAAGTTAAAACACAATCAGGAGGGTGTGAGGAGTAATGAAGAGTGGCGATGTGAAGCTAGTTTTAAGTCTCTGATTTGTTGGTGTTAGGAGTAACTTGTTGATGTGGTGGCAGTGGTGATCCTTGATGGGATGAGAACAGTACCTCCTGGAGTTGTCGAGACAGTTCAGATAAACACGTTCAGAATCTGAGTGTGTGTGCCTTCGACATGTTATCAGTACAAATGTCAATTTCCTATTGCTGAGTTCCTGGTCTTACTGGTAGCACCTTTAAGATACAGTATACATTAAAGATTATTACTATAAGGACAGATAGTAGGAAGGTAAATTTCTAGCAAGCACACATACCTATTCATACAAATGTACAAATTTTAATTTTAGGGTAGAGGAAGCTCTAGACCACTTTTGGAAACATGTAGCCAGGCATGGTGGTGCATCCCTGTGTGCTCTAATCAGTCTTGTGTTCTGAGGTCGCCTTTATGTGTTAATAGAATACTATACATAACTGTATCAGAAACGAGAACTGTGTAGAGGAACAATGTCCTTTAGTGTGAAAGAAAGATGCTTATAAATTGATTTTTAGGGAAAAGTTACATTTTACCTATGGTATCTAGCTTACGGTAGAAATTGTGTAATTTATACTCAGAAAAGTAAAAAATTGGTATGAAATTTTCCAAATTATTTAAATAAAGTTAGAAGTTTTAAAATTAGTTTTTAGAAAGTATATAGAATATTGATTTTAGTTGTAACATTGGTATGACATTTTCCAAATAATAAATTGGAAATTGTAAAGTTTTTTGTTTTGTTTTGTTTTTTTACTGTGTCCTTTTGTATACTGATTTTAGTTGTGACATGGCTTTCCTTTTTATTTTAGGCAGCTGCAGCTGATGGACATAACAATAGCCTTCTTCCTCAGATTATTCAATGTTTTGCTTGTCCACATTGCTTTCTTCTGTTTAGTACCAAGGATGAGTGTTTGAAGCATATGTCTGCAAAGAATCATTTCCATAAGAGCTTCAAACTGGGTGGTATGTCAATATATTGCTGCTAAAACTTTGTAAATGAGTTACATTGGCAAATTTATACCTTTCAAAATACTCTTCTAAGTTAGCTATACTTCTCAGTTTAGAATCATAAAAATTAACTGTTTTTATTTAAATTCTTAATTTTTCAAAAATGCTTATTTGTATCTGTATGTTTTAAACCCCCTTCCTTCTTTTTAGACAAGGTCTTACTTTGTAGCTCTAGCTGGCCTTGAACTCACAGAGATCTGTTTTTTTCAGCCTTCTGAGTGATGAGATTAAAAACATGAGCCACCTGCACCCAGCTATGTCTTATCTATTTGAGGGATGACAAGAAACTTGGGAAGGAAAGCACATATTCAGAACAGTGTTTTTGTTACATCTGGGAGGTCTGGGGAGTTGCGTGAGAAAGCATTCTTTATATTTAAGTCTAAAAAATGGTCTCCTGTACACTTTTACTTAACTGATGAGATCAAGAAGGGAAGGAAGAGAGAGATTGGGTTTCCGTTTGTTCAGATTACTTTGCGATTTGTGGTTCATTTTGTCTTTTAGATGATAAGGGAACAGCCCGCCCAATATCATTTCCATCTTTTGCAAAGAAGCTTTTGGTCTCTCTGTGCAAAGATGTTCCATTTCAGGTTAAGTGTGTGGCCTGTCACCAGACTCTGCGTTCCCACTTGGAGCTCACTGCTCATTTCAGGTTTGTACAGCTCTTCTAGTCTTAGGCTGGATGGAGCTCCTCGTGATGTCTTCACTAGTGCAAGGGTTCAGCAAGTATTTTCTATTCAAGGTGTCTCTCCTTTAGAATAAGGATGCACAAACCTAGCATAAAGAGAGAAGCGAGAGGCACAGGGAGAAGTGTGGATGGAAGCATGGGGATGTGTAGCCAAAGGCAGGGGTCCTTACATGTGAGTCAGCTTCTCAGACTCCCCAGCCTATCGATGCGTGTGGATAGCTTCTCAGATGGTCCAGCCTATTGTGATGCGGTTCTTAATGAAAATTGTTCTCTAGCAGAAAAGAAATGTGGGTGGGACATATTCTTGACATAAGTTAATCAACTATTAACAAGTAGTTCTGGGAGTTGTGGTGGCTACCTATGACCCTACCACTATAGGCTGCGGAAGGGTCACAAGTTAAAGGCCAGCCTCCATTACACGGTGAACTTGCATACAAAGGGGGAATGGAACAAAATGGGCTGGAGAGATGGTCAGTGATTAAGAGCATGTTATGGCTGCTCTTGCAGAAAGCCTGGGCTTAATTCTCAGTACCCACATGGCAGCTCACCACGGTCTGACCCCTCCGATTGCAGGGGTCAGATAACTCTGAAAACTCAGGATCCACAAGAAGTATACAGCTATGTAGACAGAACAGCCATACTTGTTAAATAAATAAATACAGTTAAGTAAGTTAATCAATTAAAAAAACTTACAATGAAACCAGAAAACAGCAACAAAAAGTGGAATATTATCTAGAAATGTATAATGGTCATTCACATATTCGAATGACCTTGCGAATCTAATTTGCTTCAAGGCCCCTATATCAGTGCATTTGATACTGGTTGATGTTTTCTGAAGTTTGCCTTCATATTTTGAATCTTCTACTTTTAACTCTTGTATGTGGATGAGAAAAATAAAGTAGGGGTAATATAAAAGTACTTTAAGATGATAGGGTAACTGCATTATTGAAAAGATAACTTTTAGTGCTTATTTGTATTGTTATTTTAAAATTCTTGTCATACAAAGCAGAGAAAACTTATACTTGTTTTTTAAATCCAAATTAGGGTTCGTTGTCGAAATGCTGGACCTGTAGCTATAGCTGAGAAAAGCATTACTCAGGTTGCAAAAGAATTCCTAGTAAGAGGTTATTGCTCAGATTGCCTCCAGGTCTTTATGGATGAAGCCAGCACCCAAAGTCACAAGAATTCAGGACACAGAGTCACACTTGCGAACTCAATGGAAGAATCTGTCTTGCTTTATTGCCACATCAGTGAAGGGAGTAGGCCTCCTTGTGATTTACATTTATTCAGTCAACCAAAAATTTCACCACTTAAACGAATTCTGTCTATTAAAGAGTCCAGTGCAGAGGATTGTGTCATTCCAACAAAGAAGGTGAACTTGGGAGTTGAAAGCCATGGAGGTACGACTCGTGTGCAGAGTCAGAGTTCAGCAGTCACAGCCTGGGTCTGTGAATGCAGTCGGCGGTTTCCAAGTGAAGATGCAGTAGAAAAGCATGTTTTCTCAGCAAACACAATGTGTTACAAGTGTGTGGTCTGTGGAAAGGTTTGTGAAGATTCAGGGGTCATGCGTTTACACATGAGCCGGTTTCATGGAGGGGCGCATTTAAATAACTTTCTATTTTGGTGTCGGACTTGCAGAAGGGAGTTAATAAAGAAAGATGCCATCATGGCACACATTACTGAGTTTCATACTGGGCATAGGTATTTTTATGAGACGGATGAGGTAGAGGAGGAGGCCGTGCCGTCGTCCTCTGCAGAGAGCCGTTGGAATGCTGACAAGCCACCTTCACCCATTGCTGCTGTTGATCACTGCCTGACAACCAGTCCTCCCAGGGGCAGGTGGCAGTGCCGCATCTGTGAGGACATGTTTGATTCCCAGGAGTGTGTGAAGCAGCACTGCATGTCCTTGACAAGCCACCGGTTTCATAGATACAGCTGTGCCCACTGCAGGAAGACGTTCCATAAGCTGGAAACTCTGTCCCGACATTGCCAGGACGAGCATGACAATGAGATCAAGATGAGGTACTTCTGTGGGCTTTGTGATCTCATTTTTAACAAGGAAGAAGCATTTCTGAGTCACTATAAGGAGCACCACAGTATAGATTATGTGTTTGTGTCAGAAAAAACAAAAACCTCAATTAAAACTGAAAGCGATTTTAAGATAGTAGAGACCAGTAATTTACTAAGCTGTGGCTGTCATGAAACTTATATCTGTAAAGTCAACCGAAGGGAAGATTATGACAGATGTCTTCAAGTCATGCTGGAGAAAGGTAAGCTGTGGTTTCGCTGCAGCTCGTGCTCAGCCACAGCACAGAACGTGGCCGACATTACTGCTCACGTCTGTCAAGCGCACAGAAAGGAGAGCAGCGATGAGGAGCAGCAGTATGTGATCAAGTGTGGCGTCTGCACCAAAGCGTTTCTTAACACGGAGAGTGCTCAGCAGCACTTCCACAGGAAGCACGCTGCCTTCCAGAAACCCGCTGTGACCCATGGTGGGGCTGACAGAGGAAGCACGTGCCAGCTTGCTGCTAGTGTTTCACATGCTGAGAAAAACCTGAAACAGACAAACTGTCAGAAACATTCAGATGTGGAAAAGGGAGCTGAGCAGGACTCACGGTGCCAGAACATAGGTATGGCTCTTCAGTGGGGGCAAGTGTAGCACACCCACGCTAGAATGTATGCACATACATATGTATGGACCCACCAGTAAAAGCTGAGTGAGTGCTGACATCAGCAGCATCTGCTGATGACCTCAGAAGTATCACTGATGACAGCAGCCAGTGTGCGCTTTCAGGGATTTGTGCTTATGCTGTCTTTAAATAATAGAGTAGATCTCTTTCTGTTTACAAAGAAATGAGAGTTTTGAGAAATGACAGGTCGTGATACTTTTTCTAAAAGATTTGAGAGTTATTCCGAACCATAAAATCATATTTTCCTTAAACTATGAAGGTTCCCTTTGTGTGTGAATGTGTGTTTATGTCTGTCTGTGTGTGTTGTGCTTAGTTTTGTGCATGCCAAGCACATGCATTGTCATTGAGCTGCATCACCAGCTACCGGTAAATCCTTTTGTATCTCTTCAGTCTTGTTCTCATTTGTTTGTTTGTTTTCAAATAAAAAAAGTTGGGGCTGGAGAGATGGCTCAGTGGTTAAGAGCACTGCCTGCTCTTCCTGAGGACCCAGGTTTAATTCCCAGCACCCACATGGCAGTTTACACCTGTCTGTGACTCCAGTTCCAGGGGACTTGACACTTTCACACAGACATACATGCAGGCAAAACACCAATGAACATCAAATAAAAATACATAATTTAAATAAATTTTAAAGTTTAAAATTTTTATTTGCTTTGGTTTTGTTTTTTTAAGACCAGGTCTTACACATTACGTGTGGTTGCCTGATGTAAGGCCTGCAAAGCCCTCCCCATGGGCCTGTACCTAGAGTCTCCTGGTTTCAGCTGAGGAACAAAGAAGCCCCTTGGTTCTTGCCCCTGCTACAGCACCTGCTAGCCTCCAAGATGTTTATCTAGAGTAGAGCACCTTCCCTCAGCCTCTCCTGGCGATACACAGCCGGTGGTGGACCAGGAGGTAGCTAGGCTCAGAGCTGGCTGGCGGCATGTGTAAAGTAGTCATGTGTGGAGTCCCAGCAGCTGAGGTTGGCAAGCTGGGCTCTAGTTAGACTTCGATTACTTGCCATTCATCTATTTTTTTGACATGGAGTCTTACACTGTTATTCAGACTGTTGTCATACTCTTGGGCTCAAGTGACCCTCCCAACTCAGCCTTTGGACTATAGGTGTGCACCACCACTCCAGGCTATGGGCCATTGACTTCACAGGTTTGATCTGTAGTGTACATAAGTCTTGATGCTTAGTTGTCAGTTTTCAGTAAGAAAGCATTAAATCTTTTCATGGTCTAGTTAATTCTAGTTCCAAAAAAGTAAAACAGTAGCCCCAGTGTTTTATGTTCTTCTGTGGTTTTCTCATTACTTCTGGGGAATGTTGTGTTTGTCTGTGTTCAGTAGAAAATGACAGTAGCATTTAAGAATCTGAAGACGCAGCATGGCTTGGAGATAGGAGAGGATGATAGTAACACACTAAAGGGCTCTCTGTTAGTCCTGGTAGAAACTACTCATTTAAAAATATCCCAAGGCTTGCCTGAGAACCACTAGAAACTGTAAGGCCCTGTCATGGTGGAAAAGCTTGAAAGTGGGGTTGTGTAAGAAGGGAAGTATGGGAGATGAAAGGAGAACCTGAGAGAACCAAGAAATAGGGTGTAAGTCTACCAGCACCTCTTTCTAGCACCCGTGGGATCGGCCTTTGAAGTTCCCTTATTTATGCTTTCTTGGGTATTTGATCCTCAAGCCAGAGAGCTACTAATAAATCCATCGAGATTCATTAGTAGAATAGTAAATTTATTAGAGAAAAGCAGATTCTCATGACAAAGAGCATTCTTGGTAAATTATCTTGAAAATTATGTTTGTGGGGTTTTATTATGTCACCCAGGCTGCCTTCAAACTGTGATCCTCCATCCTGCCTCAAGAATCTTGGGTTAAAGTGTGTGCCCTACCTTGTACTTCTACTTTATTGGTTTTACAAGTTCCCTTTGAGCCTTCCTAGACAGAATGTTAGGACCTAATTTGAATGTTGTTACTATGCATTGTATTATTCTACTAGATTATTTTTATGTCTGTGTTGATATAAGTTCACAAGTCTTTTTATGCACATTGAATATTTATGGATAGTGAAATTCTATTTAGTCTTAAATTTTGAACTTCTATTTGACCTAGTACATTAATTTGTTAAAAGTAACTTTATTTTCAATAACAAATTTTTATGGTTCTTTAAAAAGAAAACCTTAGCCAGTCATGGTCGTGCATGCTTGCAGACTCTGCACTTAGGATGTGAAAGGAGGAGAATCAGAAGTTCAAGGCCAGTCATGAGAGCATAGTGATTTTGAGTCCATTCTGGGCTAAATAAATAAGATCCTCCTGTCTCAGATCAAAACCACAAAGGCTTTACAGTCAAGGGAAGAGAGCTTAAGAAGGATAGGATCAAGTGTCTACTTGGCTTAAGTCTAAACGGCTCTGTACAGATTGGATCCTTGAAAAGGTTTCAGTGGAGATGGACAGTAGGAGCAATGGACAGTTTTGCATTTAGGACATCTAATGATTCTTACTGAATTCATGTTATTTTGTTTGTTTGTTTGTTTGTTTTCCTTAGAGGAAGAAGTTGAGCTTCCAGACGTGGACTACCTGCGAACCATGACTCATATCGTCTTTGTAGATTTTGATAACTGGTCGAACTTTTTTGGCCATCTACCTGGGCATCTTAATCAAGGAACGTTTATTTGGGGCTTTCAAGGTATGGTTAAGAAGGAAAGCATTAAAGCACCTCTTCTGAGGATGTGATTCACTTAAGAAGGATCCTTTGAACCTTCCCGAATAGAACATGGAAACATAGTTTGAGTGTTACTATTGTGCACTACTCTGCTAGGTTACTTGTTTATTTTTTACCTGTTATGTGTGTAGAGGTCAGAGGACAATCTGTGGGAATGATTCTCTTCCTACATTATGTAGGTTTCAGGGATCATTCTTAAGTCATTAGCCTTGGTGACAAGCACCTTTACCCACTGAGCTGTCTGGACAGCTGGAGCTAGGGATTTTGCTGCTGTTGTTAACATATTTCTGTGGTATTAGCTCTGTTTGCTAACCCCAAATTGATGTATCTGTCGATACACATTGAAGTAAGAGTCATTCAACACCTATGATGTGTCAGGCTTTTAAAATGCAAGAAAGCAGGTAGGGAGGATTGTGTTTTACTAGTTGTATGTGTTTAACATTTTAACAATAACTTAAAAACAAAATTTAAGGAAGCAGGCTGAGAGACTTGTATTTGTTATAGAATCACTAGAAAATAGTGTTACCTCTTGAACTGTGTTCTTGTAGCTATGGGAGTGTTGTGATTTCCAGTATGCTGTAGTTACCTCTTTAGTTCATTATGAAGTACCACATCTCTACATACTTCTCTAAACCACTGGCCTGACTACAGGGAAAGAATACTTTGATTTACTGAGATTTAGTGTAGTGAGTATCGGATGCATTTTTAGAGGAAATGGCATAAAAAGGTAAGGATTGGCATTAAAGATAGAAACATACTGATCTGGAAAAGTTGGCCAAACTAATGTTTTACTAATGTTTTATTAAGTCTAGTTCTGCTGTCATACTTTTTAGTTTTTAAAAATTCTTGATTTCATATATGTATGTATGTATACATATATATAGTCCTTTTTACCCCCATTGTGATCTCACTTCTCCCCTGAACCCCTTCTTCACAGAATTTCCACCTTCTGTTTTCATGTGTCTCTTGCTGGCATGAGTGTGGGTGAGAGGTTGCTTAGTGAGCATGGGTAGTCTTAGCACTGACTGCATCACTAAAGCCAGTGACTGCCTCCAGCAACCGTGAGCTCATCAGCCGTCCACTGTGGAATGTGGATAGGCCCACCCTGTGCAAGTTAGCACAGTCACCGTGAGTTCACAGTTTCAGCAGCCATGCTGTGTCCTACAGACTGTGCTTCAGAGCACACCTCTGTCCACTGCCTCTTACATTCTTCTGCCCCCTCTTTCCTTGTGTTTCCTGGGCATTGGAGGGAGTTAGGGCTGAGCATTCAACAGCAGTTACCTCAGCACTCTGACTACTCAGGAGTCTGATTTGACTTTTGCACACACAAGAGAAGCCAGTCTGAGAAGGACAGAGAGCAAGAGCAGCACTAACTTCGAATATAAACAGAAATATTTAGAATGCGTATGTATTGTTTCTTAACCACTGACTTTGGCATATTTGTAAAACCTACCAAACTTCGAATTTATGTAGAATGACACCAGTAGAAGAATGTTAACTTTAGTTTTTTACTCTTCTCACTATCCATATGAACTTCTAAGAAAAGTTATTTTTTATGCAAATGGATGTTTTGCCTCTTTGTATGTTGTGCATGAGCTGCTCATGGAGACCAAGAGACGGTATCAGATTCCCTGGACAGGTTATAGACAGTTGTGAGCTACCTGTGAGTACTGGGAATCAAACCCCAGTTCTCCGGAAGAGCAGCCAGTGTTGCCAGCAACTATGGAGACATCTCTCCACCCCTCACCCTATGAACTTTTACATGTGTAGGCAGATGAAAGGAAGTCAGACTCTGTTCCCAAGATTGTAAAGTGACAAGATGGTGATGCCTGTTTCAGGACTGAGACAGCATGTCTTGTAGCTGTAGGCATTGTAACTGAACTCTTGGTCACCCTGTCTCCACCCCGCATGCCTATGCACCCCAGCCCTGGTTTATGAGGTGCTGGAGTCAGACCCCAGGCTTTGTGCATTCTAGGCATCTACTCTGATAAGTGAGCTACATCTGCAGGCCAGTTCCCTCACATATTAATTTCGTACTTTCAGGAAGAAAAATAGAGGTTATAGTTTACCTTGATAAAGTTCCCAGTCTCTTTGTTCCTTACTTGACTATCATTTATATTTTTTTTCTAAAATTAATAGGGGGAAACACCAATTGGAAGCCTCCACTCAGCTGTAAGGTCTATAATTACTTGAACAGGATTGGATGCTTCTTTCTTCATCCTCGCTGTAGTAAAAGAAAAGATGCTGCTGACTTTGCCATATGTATGCATGTAAGTAGGTGTTTTATTAAAGACCTGATGTCAGTCTCCATATGTCTGCATGTAAGTAGGTGTGTTACTAAAGATGTGATGGCAATCTAGGATGCATTTGGATTTTTGCCTTTTTGACTGTAATGGCAGCGTAGATCATTATTCAGAGCTGATTTCATATAAACCTTAGTGTGTTAAGTCCTGCACACTGCTTGTATGGTCTGGTTAAGACCCCACCACACACATACTTTTTATGCTTTTTATGGCAGTCCTCCAGAAGACTTCATCTGTATATAGCAAACTTAGTTATGTGTGGAGTAAATAGTCAAGATGGTTCTGTACTTGCTGTGTACAATATTCTTTTACATTGCATATCTGAAATTGAGAGGCACTGGATTAACTGCTGTTGTCTTAGGTAGAATTTGCATTTACCTCTGTCTCTGCCCATCACTTCATGAAACTACTGACTGAGCCAGGACTCACTTTATATTAAGTCCTCTGTGTGAACATTTCTGTGTCACTCAGATCATGTGAATGAATGCTTTTGCAAATGTATCACTTGCTGCTTCAGCCTCAGGAGAGTCCTTCTTCCTTTGATTGAGTCATACAATTTGCCTTCTGAGCATGTTTCCTGCGAGGGTTTGTGTGTTCTTTCTTGAGTAGGTGGCGTTTAGGTCCCTCCATCATGCAGGTGCCTCCTGTGTAGCTGTAGTTTGTCTGCTGCTTTTTCCTCAGTGCTGCCTCTGTAGGTTGTCTTGTAATTGTTGACATCCTACATTTGACTTTTGACATAGGTGCCATATGTCAACTACGAAGCTCACTAGGGAATGAGTATAACATACTTTCCTAGATATGTGCTCTTTGTGACATAGATGCTACTTGATTTGAAACTCTTGTAGATGTGTAACAACCTGTGTCATTTGTTCTACCTTAGGCTGGCCGTCTAGATGAACAACTGCCCAAACAAATTCCTTTCACCATCCTCTCGGGAGACCAGGGCTTTCTGGAGCTAGAGAATCAATTCAAGAAGACCCAGAGGCCAGCTCATATACTGAACCCTCACCACTTAGAGGGAGACATGATGTGTGCCTTGTTAAATAGCATATCTGATACTACCAAAGGTATGGAGCTGCCGGCACGGTGCAAACCACCCAAGAGGAGGAGATTTCACTGCTGAGAAAACCAATAAACTGCTGTCTGCTAGTGAACTGCTGTCTGTTTCCTAAACCTTTGTGCCTTTATCCGTCTGTCTTGCTTGTCCTTTCTTATGTACTTACATCTTGTTTGTTGCTTTGAGCAGGATCTCTTATAGCCCAGGCTAGTCTTGAACTTCTGTCTGGAAGAAGCTGATATAGCAGAGGCTAGCCTTGAACACCTAATCCTCCTGTCTCTTCCTCCCAAGTGCTGAAATTCTAGCCCTATGCTGTCATGCCTGGTATTATTACTTTCATTCTTTAGTGTTTTAGAATGAGGATTAATCACAGTAATTTTCCACAGCCTTTATTTATTCTAATAGATAAAAATCAGTTTCCACTTGTATAAAATATGTATTAATGTCATAAAACATATTAAAGCTCAGAATTCAGATCATCACTGTTTATAAGATTGCAAATTTATCTTCAGATGTTAGTAGATAAACAAGAAAGCAATCCCTAGAAAACAAGTGTAGAGACCATGTGAGAGGTTGCCTGGGACACAGTGAAATGCTGATGAGCCTGTCAGTCCTGGGGAGGGGTTGGGGTCCTCCTACTCTGTTGCCCTGCTTGCTTACTGGGCTACCCACCTCCAAGTGTGTCCACGGTTAGGAGTTCAGTTTTACCACCCAGTATTTGAAAAAGAAAGTAGTTTTGGTTTCCCTAATTTCTGATATGAAACAGAAAATATAAGAGTGATATTTAAATGTAATACACAGCTCTAGTGAGTCACACTTAGTCTTTCTAGTGGTTCAGAGACTGAAGAAGGAAGAGAGCTATGAGTTGGAGGACACCTTGGGCTTTGTTTACAAAATGAGACCCTGTTTCTAAGGATAACAACCCAAAAAAAGGTCCTAATAATGAGGTACATGAAACCTGTATCAAATTTAAAAAATAAATAAATAAAAGAAAAAAGATTTGAAGATTTTGGCAAATGGCCTCAGTGACAGAGAACTGGCTACTTCTCAGAGTGTTACTAGATGGATTAGCATTTTTCTTTTCTTTCTGTTTTCTTCTAATATATTTGAAACTATATTTTTAGTAAAAATGCACAAGAATGTTACTCTAATCAGCAATTACAGTGGATCAGTTGATTCTACAAATTATGATTTCATTTACTTTCCCTCTCTCTTTTCTATTTTAAAATAGTCCCTCATGGCCCAAACTGGCTTTGAGCTCCAGGTACTCTTGCCTCCACCTCTGAAGTGCAGGGTTCAATGTCATGTGCCACCATGCTTAGCACTCAACTATCCGTTTTGAAGCAGTAATGAAGCTGGGCGTGGAGGCACATGGCCATTAGCCACCCCTAGGGAAGCAGAGCCAAAGAGAGTTGTGAGTCCAGCTTTGCCTGATGTGTACACAAAACGCAAGTTTATAAAGGAAAGCAAATCCTTTCCTCTTTATACCATGCTTCAGTTCTCAATATTTTCTCCTACTCTGTAATTTTTATTTTCATCCACTTAATCAGAGGTTCCCCACAGGCATCTAAGTCCTTTTATGAAATCTTTAATCCAAGTTTCATGTTTCAGAGGTGAACATTATACTTATCACCAAAGTTTTCAGTAAAATGGCTTTTATTGAGGGCATACTGTTTTACAACCAATATGCTGTAATTTTTATAGTCTTGTTCAAACATTTAGAGTTTAGACACATTTAAATAACTTCTGATGTCTTTCAGTCCTCTTTTTTTATATGCTAAGGGTTAGATATATTGGATTCTGAATCCTTATGGGTGAGGAAGCAATGATTTAGGAAGATTTAGTTACCTACCTATGGGCTCTGCTTGTCTTTTCGTCAGTACCACCCTGCTTGTTACAAGCCAGCTTCCGTCGTATAGAGGTGGATTCTCCACTCACTCACATGCACTGTAACTTATTGGCTCTAGCCATGTGCTTTAAGAGTGAAGAGGAGATGTATTTTGCTATAGAACAAAAATACTGCATTTTGTTTACATAAAGGTATATATTAGATTTTCTTTTTGAAGCAATGTTAAGGAATTTCTATTTATTTTTGTCAGAAGATAGAAATTAGTTGTGAGAGTTCTAGTGCCTCAGAAATAAAGTGGACCTGATACTGAACACAGTCTGGGAAAGCAGTCAGCGTTGTAAATGCCCTAGGATCTGTGTTGAGCCATTAAACTAATCCTCCCTGTCTTTCAGGCATCTCAGGGTGTATGTACGTAGCCTACAGCTCTGAGAAGTGCAGTAGCAACCCTGGCCGGCTGGCCATCCACCTTACCTCCACCTTACCAGTGTCCTCTCTTGAGAATGAGAAGTAATGAGAAAGAGTTTGCCACAGATAATTGTTACCAGATACTTTGTAACAGTCTGCTATGTGGACCTACCTAAGACTTTGCTGTATGCATTTGGTTGTGGCATAACTTTAAATGAGTAAGATCAAAGTATTAAGTGGAATTTGTGTCTGTGGATCCAAAGATACAGAGACTTTGAAGTCCATCTTAGAAAGTGGATATAGATATTGCCCTGTGCTGTGAGCATGCAGACAGTTGAGGCAGTGTCATTCCTGTAGAATAGGCCTTACGTTAATCAGTTATATCCAGGTCTTTATAGACCAGTTAATTCTGTACAGAGGACTGAAAGGAGAAGAATGCTAACGATTTTCTCAATTTGTGCGGATCTGTTGGTTGAAGCAGAAGAACCTGCTCTGCAGCCTAGTGTATGCTACACTTGGTTCACTGTTCACACCAACAGCACCAAGATTAGGACCTCCACCAAGAGGCGGAGCGCTGGCGTCAGTCTGGACGTGTTCTGTTGGCTGGCCTAGGCGTTACACTGTAGGAACATTTTTTTTTCTTTTGTAGTTTTTTTGTTCATTGGTTTTTCGTTTTTTTCTTTGTTCTCTGTTAAAACAAACATTGTTCATTGCACTTTCATACTCATTTGCACCCGTGGAGGTACAGAACCATGTGCAGGCTTCGGCTCTCCTCTCCCGTGTGCTCAGGAGGATGTGGTGGCAGGTGCCAGGAGCAGCCGAGTTAGCAGCCTAGCCGTCTCATCAGCTCCTTCTCTGTTTTTAATGTCTGTACTCTAGAGACTGGATTTTGTTTTTAAAACTAAATAAAATGTTTCTCTAAGATGTTGCTTGAAGTATTTAAAGCAGTATGCTTAAATAGCAAAATAAATTTCTGCAGAAACTATAATGAAGTACAGAATTTACTCAAATTGTGAGTAAAATCTTAATTCTTGGTATTTTACTGTGCTTTTGCAGAGGCAAGTACTAGTTATATTTAGTTATTTTGGCTTTAATTCAGACCCAATGATATATTTGTGTGCTGTGCGTGTCTTTTTTACATACAGTTGTATGTTGGCACATTGATATATGTTCATTTAAATTTCGATTAAAAGTAATTAGCCAAGTAAATAACAAGGTCACTGGTTATACCAGAAATGATTTTTCCCCCCAATGCCTGGTGTATTATAGCAGTTTATAGAAACTTGAGGTTCGTTATGAAAGCCATTATGGCACTAGGTGACTTTGTGCCGGGTATTGCTATTGTCAATCAATTAAGGCTTTTTATTGCTTCTTTATAGCGATGAGTGCCTCTGGTTTGAAAATAATAATCATTAGCAAGCCCTGCTGGGCTAGCAATGGGGCACTACTGAATAAGCTCGGTATGGAAAGTCTTTGAAAATACATTGTTTGGCTAAGCATGGTGGTTTACACCTGGAGCAGGAGAATTGCTGTGAGTTTGAAGTGCAGGACACAGGGTTTTCAGAACTGTCTTTGCGTTTCTCTCTCACAGAGTGTGACAGCGATGACAGCTCGGGGGTAAAAGGCTCTCCAACCGAGGAGCTCAGGGCCACGGAGGGTAAGAGCGCATCCCGCCACCCAGGCGCTCTGGAGTGTGTGTCATGTTGTCTTTAACTCCCTGTGCCTTCACTGTCTGAGTGTTCCTTCCTCTAAACATACTTCCTTCTGTAAGATGATTGAAAAGTAGACCTAGTTGTCGAAGGCTAGAACGTAGTAGCATGTTTTTGCAACCTTTATTTAAAAACCTCTGAGTATGTCCAGGAAGTGCTGATCAAAATTGTAAATTTTAACTACCCATATATTGGGATGCTTGAGATTTGTCAGTTTCTGGCTACCCTGGTAAATTTGCATTGTGTATAACTGAGTATATTTCAGAACCTCCCCCATTTTGTTATTTTTGCAATCTGTTTTATAGTTAAGACATTGATGTTTTTATGGTTCTTAGTTTAGGGAAAGAATTATCATTAAGGATTTCAGGTAACGTGCTGGGGTCATAGCTCAGTTGGTGAAGTGCTTGTCCAGTGTGCTGCATAAAGCCAGATGTGGAGGTTAACAGAGACAGGAGAATCAGACATTTAAGGTCGTCTTTGGCGCTCTAGTAATCTGGAAGCTAGTCTGGGTTACATGAGACCCTGTCTCAAACATTTACTAAATCAAAGAATCCAGAAAAAGATACCTTAAATTTTCACTAAATTTTAAATGCTGCTGGGCAGTGGTGGTGCACGCCTTTAACCCCAGCACTTGGGAGGCAGAGGCAGGCGGATTTCTGAGTTTGAGGCCAGCCTGGTCCACAGAATTCCAGGACAGCCAGGGCTACACAGAGAAACCCTGTCTTGAAAAACAAAAACAAAAAAAAATTGAAATGCCAGCATTATGTCCACAGACAATCACGGGTGAGACAGTTTGATTTGTTTATTTCCTGATGGTGCCCTCTGTCCAGTATTCAGCCCACAGTGTCCGCTGCCAAGGCAGGGATCCGATCCCTGTACTTTCCTCTAGTCACCTTTTCTTCCCTTTTCCTCTGTACAGTGTTTTCTCCCTTCCTGATGCTGCCACCCTTTAATAGGTTTCTCATGCTGTGGTGACCCCAACCATAAAATTATTTTCCTGCTACTTCTTAGCTGTAATTCTGCCACTCCTATGAATTGTACTGCAAATATCTGCTTTCTGATGGTCTTAGGCAACCCTTGAGGAAGGGTCGTTTGGCACCCAAACGGGTCATGACCCGCAGGTTGAGAACCGGCTACTCTACGTGATAAATAGCTCAAATGTCATTTCTGTTTGATTTACTGGTTTTGCTTTTATCTGTTTGGCTGAGATGGTTGTCTTTCATGCTGTTTAGTTCAATCTTCCTGCCTCAGTCTCCCTAGTAGCTGAGGTTACAGGTAAACACCACATACACAGATACATTTCTCTGGTCGTGGGCAGAGCTATAGCTGCTATCTGTGAGAGCTTCGACTGTACAGACCAGGTTCACTTGGAATAGTTAACTTCTCATCTCTGCTGAGCCCCTGATGATGAGTTAAGGTCATGCTCATCTGTTTGCTCACCAGAACCTAGCAGAGCATGAGCAGTAAGCAACAGGCATGAGCTTGTTGGATAGATGAAGTTATAGTAAGAACTTAAGTTGTTAGATTCTCCAGGGCCTATCTTCCTGCTGGCTGGATAATTACCATGATCTGTTTGAGGCGAACTCAAAAAGTTTAGGAATCCTCTTAAATTAATTTCTCCCAACACTCTGTTGACAGATCATGTCAAAAGCAGGTAAATTTGCTTGTGGCTTTTGCTTTTGCTTTGTTGGGGTGACCTAAGCTGTTCCCTCCTGTGATGGTTGCTCTCCGTGAACCAGTACCACATGCTGACCACCCAGACAGCCACGTGACATGCAATGGCTATGCAAACACTGGATCCAGTTGCCTGCGTTAGAGGCTGTATAGCAGTGGGCAGGCCCTTCCTTCACACTTTCTCGTGTTCATGTTCTTTTGCTGTTGATGGTGCTGGAGTGATAGAATGAAACCACTGGAAATCAAGTGTTACCTCTTCCATTCTTGATACAGAGTAGGCAGCTAGCCATTTAAGTTTTACAAACTATATTCCTAATTGGTGGTTTGGGTTTTTTTTGACTAGTTTTTCCTGAATTCCAGGAACTAAAAGCCCACCTCTCCCTCTCTCTGCAGATTACTTTGTGCTAGACCCCTCCAGCCTGCCAGGTATATGTCAAGCCTGCAGATGAGTTAGTGGTGAAACTCTCTTGATATGGCTTCCCATCTTATACCCTGTCCAGACACATGCATGGCTTTATAAATCTTTCTTACACCAGATACCTTTGGGTGCCCTAACTTCCCAGAGAGACCCTGTCACTGAGTTTTCTTCCCAGGATTTATTGGTTGATTGTATGAGCAAAAATCACATTTTGTTGCAGTCTGTGTCGGGCTATTATTTCTGGCTTACAGCACATCCCCCTGCCCCACAGAGCATGCTCCATGTTTTGTCCCGAGAGGGTTCTAAGTTAGGGGCGTAGATGACTGGTTACATTTCATTAACATTTCAGGTAGCCAAGGATTAAAATAGACAAACTAATATGTAAGGTCTGCTGTGTTCTTTCTGAAATCTGGGTCCAGGATCCCACACTGAGAGCAGAGACTACTGTCTACCTAACAGTACTTACTGCTAGTCAGGGTATGGTCAGTGAGGAGCGGCAGTAAAAATCCCACAATGCTCTCCCGTTCTTATGCTGTCATCTTTCCTTCTTCCCTATTCCATAGTCAGCACTTACGCTTTCTTACATCTTTTAGGTTTCCCTCTGATGGTTTGTTGTGTGTGGGCGTGTGTATGTGTTGGAGGATGAGAGTGCATCCCTGCATGCATGTGATGGTCGAGGACTCTTGTGGACTCCAGGAGTCAAAACTTAGGCCCTCAAGTGCTCACCACACCCACCAAGGTATCTTTCTGGGCCTACAACACATATGGGAACTCTCCATGTGTGTTGCACTAAGAAGTTTCCCAAGGACTTAGCTTCAGGGATTCTTATTTTGTGGCTCTTGCTTTTCACTCCCAGTCTACACGGTCGAGCATTTCGGGAAGACCAGAACCCTATCTATTAATTCCTGAAGGCATTAAGTGTGTGTCCTTCAGAGTGAAGTCTGGAGTCATCTTTTTAAATTTTTTTGTTTTATGCCTATTAGTATTTTGCCCGCATGTATGTCTGTGTACCGCGTGCGTGTCTGAGGCTAGTAGAGTGTTTCAGATCCCCTGGAACTGGACCTACGGGTATTGGGAATCAAACCTGGATCCTCTGGAAAAGCAGTCAGGGCTCTTAATTTCTAAGCTATTTTTTTAGTTTCAAAGTCCAGCCATCTTATATACATGGATTAGAAAGGCAAAACAATAAAGCTGTAAAGTTGACCCTGTGTCTGCAGTTTTCTTCTTTCAGGGATCAGCTTTGTCTTGTTTCTACCTTTTCATGGCTTTCTGCTGCCTTGCAGGACTTAAGATGGATTTGTTCCACTAATATTGCCTTTAAAATTTTTATGTTATTAAGAGTCTGTATTAAGAGACTGTGTATGGTCCAGGCTGTGTGAGAAATCACTGTCTAGCCCAGGATGCACACAGACTCACAGCAGGCCTGCCACCTCAGTCTCATAAGTCCTGGATGGAGACATAAGCCTCCGTGCCCACCTGCTTCCTCTGTTAGTTGGTAGTTTTAATTTGTATCAGCCTATTGTAGATCAGGGTTCATTTGTATGGACTTTAGCTATTCTTTTTATTGTAGTATTTTGATTGTTTGCCATGGGGTCTCATTCTATAGAGTGTTCTCAAACATAAGATCCTCCTGCCTCAGCCTCTTGAATGTTGACATTACAGGGCTTTTCTACTATACTTCAGTTGGGTCTTATTGATTAATCAACATTTTTTTAGAGATTCTCTGTAGTTTAGGATACCGTTGTGCTTTATTTTTAAAGTGTACAGTATTTTATGTATCCACCACATCTGCCTGTTGTTTGCTGACAGTTGATTTCTGTATATATTTTGACAGAAGTGATTTTCTGTGTTCTCTCTTGTTTCTGGGAATATGAACTTAGGATAGGTATTGCTGAGGTTTATTTGACGTATTAATAAAACATTTTCCAGTGTGGTGGGGTTAGTTGTTACTAATTGTGACAACATATCCTGTTTTTGCCGATCTGAACCCGCTGACTAATCAATCATCAAAGGGATTTGTTTGGTTTTAGTTTTGTTTTGAGACAGTGTCTCATGCTACAGTTTAGGCAAGTCTGAAACTTACTATGTTATCCATGCTGGCTTTGAACCTCAGTCAGTCCTGCCTCAGTCTCCTGAGTGGATAAAAGGCATGAGCCACCACACATGGTCATTTAGTGCTTTTATTCTTAACTAGTCAGATAACTGTGTGCTGGATGCAGTGCTAGCTATCAGACCCAAGGCCTCACGCTTCCTAGGCACACCACCCCTACCTCTCAGTGAGAAATGTTTCCTAACTACATAAATATCATTTTCTGGACACCCTTTCAAGTATCTTTTTCCTGTGGATCCACTTGACATTTATGGGTTAATATCGCCCCTCCCCCTTTCCTGGGCACTAATCTTGTGGGTGGCAAATATTTGCTCCCATTCTGGACTCTGATTGCCTTTTTTGCTCATTGAATGGTGCCATGTAGTCTGTCTCCGTTTTCTTGTTTTTTGGTTTTTTTGTTTGTTTGTTTGTTTGTTTGTAGAATTTATTTTATGTATGTGCATCACAAGCCTGCCTCTTGCCTCTGGAAGTCAGAAGTATGTCCGGTCCCCTGGAACTGAAGTTACGGATGGTTGTGAGGCACCAATGGTTGTGAGGCACCATGTGTACGCTGGGAATCTCGGCCAGGTCCTCGGAAAGAGCAACATAAATTCCTAATCACCAGGCATCCTTCTCCCTAGCCTGCTGGCTTTGTGACAGGACCACGCTGTACCATGCAGGCCGACCTCAGACTCCCCACACTCTGGACATCCTTCTGTCTTAGCCTCCACAGAGCTATGGCACCTTCTGATTGATAAACATCATTTTAGTTTGCTTCTCTTACTGATCTTTGCCATGATTTTGTGAATTGTCATTACATCATTAATGTGTATTTTCTTGCATTGTTTTTGCTTTTATAATTATCTATATAGTATATTGGGAATTTTTTTTTATTCCATTAAGATAGAGATAAATCCCTATTTTCCTACATGGCCTATTAGTTGATTTACCTCCATTTACTGAAAAGAGCATTTTCCTATTTACTTTTGTTATAGTCAGTTGCCTGTATATTCATGGTTCTGTGTCTGAGGCAGCTTTTCTGTTCTTTTGCTCTGTATCAGTAATACCACATTCTTACTGTGAGTTTATAGTCCCACCCTCTTGATCTTAGCCTAAGTCCCAGTGGGAACACAGGAAAAGACCAGTGTGTAACCTAGGAATGCTTGTCCTGTTCACTGTTGCATCTCCACCCCCCACCCCTGTTGTGTGTGTGTGTATGTGTGTGTGTGTGTGTGTGCACACACACGAGCGCGCACAGGTGTCCCTATGTGTGCATGTCTCAAAGCCAGAGGTTAATATTCCACGTTCTTTTGCTTGTGTTTGTTTTTTGAGACAGGCTATCTCACTGAATCCGAACTGAAATTGCTCTTTAGGCTACACTATCATTCTGTCTGCTTCCCAGTGCTGGGGCTGCAAGCTCATCCCATCATGCCCTCATTTTGTGTGGGTCGTGGGGATGTAATCTCACATCCTCATGCCTGTGACAGTAACATTACTCACCGGATCTCTCCCCACCTTTCTAGTACTGTATTCTTGTTGCTGGTATATGATATGCAGTTAGTTAGTGAATATTAGTCTCACACACACACACTTCTCAGATGCCATGTAGCAGAGAGCCTCATTCTGCCTTAGATGCTACAAATCTAAGCTCACTTCCCCCAGCTTTATTGAGGTATGGTTGACAAATAGAAAGTAAATTTAATAGTTGTTCATAGTATTACCTTTCTGTTTCTATCTCCCTCCCTCCCTCCCTCCCTCCCTCCCTCCCTCCGGACCTCCCCGCCCCCCCCCCTCCCTCCCTCCCTCCTTCTCTTCTTCCCTCCTCTCCATCCCTCCTTCATTACCTCCCTTCACCCCCCTCGTTCCTTTTCTTTTGTGTTTTAAGACAGGATCTGTAACCTTGGCTAGCCTGGGACATGCTACGTAACCAGGCTGGTCCTAAACTCAAGAGATCTGCCTATTTTTATTGACTCGCTCTTTGTCATCACCCCCAACTCCACCAGGTGAGGGATCTCTTACTGTTGTAGCCCTAGCTGCTAGGCTCACAGAGCTCCACCTGTCTCTGCCTCTCAGGTGCTGGTGTTAACTGCTCATGCCACTACATCTGGATTCTATTTTTTTAATGTTGCATTGTCTTTACTGTGTATCTATGTATACCACTGTGTGTTGCCTGTGGAGGCCAGAGGACAATTTGGGGCAGTTGCTTCTCTCCTACCATGTGGGTCCAGGGAGTTGACCTGTGCTCACTAGGCTTGGTGTCTGGTGCCTTTACCCCTGAGCCATCCCACCAGCCCACTGTCTCCGTTTCTTGTATGTATCGTCATGAATCTTTTAGGAAATAAAGGTATTGGTCAGTGTTGAAGTTAGTAACATGTAAGTGCTATTTCAGAATACTGAGACTTTACTGAGGAACTCTACTGCATTGGAAGTTTGCTACTTGGAAAGAAATATGCTAATAAAACTCAGACAGCACAGGATTAGTTGTCTGCTGTCTGCCCTGTTTTAAAATCTTTTCTTTTTTTAAATGCAGATGTGGAATTAGAAGAAGCTATTAGAAGAAGTCTTGAGGAAATGTAATTAAAGATATTACCACACAACATCAAGTGGCCTTGAAGAGACTCAGGAAAATGAATTCTTGACTTTGTTTTCTAAAGGAGACCAGAAATCTACTAGGATAAATTTATCAAAAACACGTCTTATTCTTTTCTATGTTCAGAATCTCTATGTTGCTTTGTATTTTGTGCTATAATATAAAAAAATGAATGGAAGGAACAACGCATACCAATGGAAACATAAATCATAGTCTAATAATGGGTGACACATTTCTCCAACTAACTTAGAATTCATGCATTTAGGTTACAGTCATTTTCTAGAAGGAAAAGTATGTAAGTTCTGTCTCTCCTTAGCATTGCATCTTTTTCTGTACTTTACAAATGGCTCTGTTTTATTTTTTTAGGAATGAAAATGAATATAAATAAAAGGTGCCATAACTCAGTTTTTTCCAGAAATTCTGTGTGTTATGTGACCCTAATGTATAATATACCTTGGAGATCGTTGTTTATAATTATTACAAGAGAGGAATGGACATTGATCACAGAAACAGATTCAAGTCAGCAAGGTTCCCTGTGCTATCATGCAGCTGTATGCTTGCTCTGATTACAGTTGCACGTTGCTACAATAAAAACATCTTTAAAACAACTCAGATGAAACCTTTTCTATCCCTTTCAGATTTTTGTATGATTTGGAATATCAAAGTATATACACAGAATTAAGCTTACTTTAATATAAGTTCTTTTTTTATATTTCATGCAAACCTTTTTAATCATTATCTGATTTTTTTGTAAATATACTTTTGAAGAAATAATGTTAAAGTCTAGTCTACTCAGGAATAATTCCTAACTCCTTAAAAATTCAGCTTTATGTGGACTGTCTAGTTTAGTTCTTCATTGAGTTACATCTGGAATGGTATATGTAGTTCTTAAGGATTGAGGCTTCATTGAGAGTAAAAACCTTACATCAGTGGGAGAAGCAGCATCTCATATTGCCTTGATTTGTAGGTTTCATGTTATTTGGGCAGAAATGTCATATAAAATATTTGAGACATGATTTGTCAATATTAAATATATTTCTCTAGCCAGGCATACCTGTGATTCCAGCACTCAGTCTGAGGCAGGAGGACCACTCTGTGGTGAGACTCTGCCACAGAAAGACGAAGTAACAAATTTCTAAATATGAAGCTTTTCTTTTTGGTTAAGACAGAAAGATGTGGCTTGAATTTTGTCCTTTCTCTGCAACACTGGATAATTTAGTCTGGAATCGAATGTCTGGTCTTTTCATGTCCCTTCCTCGGGCTCTCCAGGAGGCGAACGGCTCCTAGCATGGCCTCTGGCTGTCACTCTTCTACTTTCTGAGTAGCCCTCCACAGACTTTTTATTAGATATTATAACTTCAGAATTTGTTATTCATAGTTCTGTGTTTGTTTTCTTATTTTATGTATATGAGAACACTGTAGCTATCTTCAGACACAGCAGAGGAGGGCATCAGATCCCATTACAGATGGGTGTGAGCCACCATGTAGTTGCTGGGAATTAAACTCAGAACCTGTGGAAGAGCAGTCATTCTCTCCAGCCCCCTATTTTTGGCTTTAAGGTGGTGTCACTGTACATCCCAAGCTGCTTTGACATTTTATGTTAAGGTGTCAAGGCCATAAATGGTACTCCTCAGACCTTAAACACATCTGTAGGAGCTTGCTAAATAGCACCACTAAAGCACTGGAGCTCAGCCGAGCATGGTGTATGCTGATGGTTTCTTAGGGAGCTTCTGGGGTAAGTATGTGGCTCAGCATGTGCCCAGCACTCACTGCAGGCTGTCAGGGACTCACTCCAGCAGTTCACAGGGCGTGCACAACATCTTGGGCTGTAATAGACAACCGCTGGACATTGTGGTTTGACAAGAAAGGAGTATTTCACTGAGGCTTCTAAGAAGAGGTAATGTTATCACTGCATTTCTACTCACTACGTGATTTAAAACATAAAACTGCGTTGTAATTTAGACAAGTCATTAATAACAAAGTTGTAGATTACTAACACAAGTATATTTATAATACTGATTTTTTTATGCCATCATTCATTTTTTTCACAAGTTACTGTTGTGTTTATAAAAAGATAAAGAGAGGGGGAGTATGTTCTATGGAGGTGTAGTCAGGTATGGGGGAAGGGTGTGCCTCAGCAGGTCCATGATAAAGCATCCCTTCTGCCTGATAGACCAGCCACAGGACGGTATTGGGTAGAATAGAGTTTATTAAGGGCATGGGGAGGGGAGTTAAGAGGGTAGCCAAGGGAGAGAGAGAGAGAGAGAGAGAGAGAGAGAGAGAGAGAGAGAACGGGAGAGAGAGAGAGAGAGAGAGAGAGAGAGAGAGAGAGAGAGAGCCCGGCCATGAGCACATGGAGAGAGAAGGGGGGTGGGGTGGGGAGGGAATGGGGAAAGAAAGGGGAAGAGAAAGCAAGAGTAAGAGAAAATAAGAGAGGGAGGAGGGGGCAAGCAGCTCCTTTTGTAGTGGGTCAGGCCTACCTGGCTGTTGCCAGGTAACTGTGAGGCATAGCTTAGAATGCTAACAACTGTGAATCTACTATGTGACAGCAACTTCTCGAAGTACCTGAGATGTGACTGTGATCCTAAGTGCTCCTGTCCCTCTGCTGCTCAGACGTGGAGAGAGGGCTATATGGACAGTGTTAGATAAGTAAGCAGATAAAACCGTATCTGTTAGGGATAATGTGCCGACTGGAGAAGGGAGGGTAACGTACAGGGATGGGACTGAGCCTACCTGCAGCTCTGGGAATCTCACATCTGGGGCACTGTCTTGCTGTACAGCCCAGGTTAGCCTCCAGCTTGCAGGGATTACAGATAGGCACCACTGTGCTCAACTCAGAAGATATTTTTAACATCCAGGAACATTTTCACTGATAGTGAGCTTAAGCAGAGATTGGGAGGAGGCTAAGGAAAGAGGCATGTGAAGAGCAAACAAGGTAGCCCCTGACCTTGGGAGATGCTTCCTTGTTTACTCTGATGAGCTATTGGAGGTTTTCGAAAGTTTATGGTACAGTCTACTGTGTTTGAATACTGTACTGAGGGTCCATGGGAGAGGCAAGACATATGCTTGAGAGAGCAGATGGGGCTCTGCGGTCATCCCCGTGAAGACTGACCAGATGATGGTGTATTGTCCAGTCAAGATGGATTCTGAGGATAGAACTGGTACTTATTAATGGATTGTATCTAGGGTACAAGAGTGAAAGAGTCCAGGGTGATTTTAGGCTAGGTGCCTGAAAATTATCTGCCCTCCTGCTTGTGAAGCCAAAGTAGGCACAGCAGGGAAGTAGAAGACAAAAGATTTGCAACCTGCACCAAGCAGGAAGAGGAAAGCTTTCCAGAAGCACTGAGGGATTTTTCTTTTCAGGGATCCCATATATTTTCATAAAGGAGCCTGCCCATTCCAAATCATGCTCAGTTTAAGGTCGTAATTTATATAAGGAAAAGAGCATAGACACGTCTTTAGACAGGAACATACCTGTAGCAATTTAGTCTGGAAATGCCTTCTATGGGTGCTCAACTTGTGAGACATTAAGACAAACGTATTTAAAGATACCTGCTATTTTACTTTCCTACTGCTGTGATAAAACTCCATGACCAAGGGAACTTATTAAAGAAACCGTTTAATTGGGCTTAGATACAGAGGGTCTGGGTCAGTGATGGCAGCAGAATATTCCACTAGGAATATTCTTGAGTCTTTTCAAACCTGCCCACAGTGACACACTTCTTTGAGCAATTCTCAGTGACGGAGGACCAAGTGTTCAAGTGCCAGAGGGGGCATCTCATTCAAAGCACAGAGGCAGATGCTATACCACAGAGCTATGTCTGAAGCCCCTTTTATTTTTCCTTTTGACAAGGCGCTTGTTGAAGCTACCCAGACTAGCCTTGAATTCACACAGGCCCAAGTTACACAACCCTGTCTCAGCCTTCAGGTTAGCATTAGACCTGAGACCTGTCCAAGCTCAGACTTTCAAGTCTACAAAATGTTCAGATTTCACGGTTGTGTCGTTAGATGACAGTGTTGAATGATACCAAGATAATCAATCCACCGTTCATTGGTATTAAGATGAGTTCGGGGTGGGGTTGGGGGTTGGGGGACGGGACTAGAAGCCAGCCTTACTTAAAGGGCTTGTCTCTGTTCAGTATCCAATGGCTTTGAGTTCTGAGTAAAGGATATAAATGAACTTTGTTTCCCATTTTCTGTACCCTGTGCATTGAGAGGACAAAACAGAACTTTAAGTAGATGCGGCTTTGCATTTCAGCCCTACTGACCTCTACAGCTTCTGCCATATGAGCCTATTGAATATCATCCGCAGAGGATTTAAACAAGTTATGTGCGAAAGTAATAATCCTTTCATAGGAAAGGCGAGACAACACAGATGCACTTGGCTTCTCCTTATTTGGAGCTTGTGGTCCAGGCTTTCCCTGTCCTCTCCGGAGCCCGCCTGGTCACCGGACAGGTCGGACTAGTAGAGACTGCCCTCAGGGCATACTGGATTGTCTCCTGCTCTCGCCACGTCACGGGCTGCACCCACTCCATCCTTGCAGTGAATCGTGGGTGCTGGGTGGACCGGCGGAGGCCCTCGGTGCGCCGGGGCAGGGTCCCCCACCCTGGCTGCTGGCGGCTGCGCCCGCGCCTGCCCTTGTTTGGCCGCGCGGCCTCGGGGGTGGGGAGGTGGGGGCGGTGCCGTCCGCGTCAGCGGCGCCCGCGGTGACGGCGACGTGCGGCCCGCGCCACTGCTGCCCGCGGACGCCGAGGACCCCCGGAGCTCATGGCCCAGGCGAAGATCAGCGCCAAGGCCCACGAGGGCCGCTTCTGCCGCTCGTCGTCCATGGCCGACCGCTCCAGCCGCCTGCTGGAGAGTCTGGACCAACTGGAGCTCAGGTGAGGGCGGCGGGGACGCGCGCGGCCAGGGGCGCGCTCCGGGTGGGCTCCCCTCCCCCGGGCCGGAGGACCTGCGAGCCAGTGCGGCTTGCAGAACTTCCAGAACCTTCTGCCGTGTCCTCCTCTGCCTTTAACTTTCCTGTTTCCAGGAGAGAGGCAGCAGGTTGGTGTGGTCCCCCCTCTCACCACACACTGTAGTAAGTTTCTTGGCCCTAGATCACTTCATAGTAACAGAGAGTAAAGAGAAAACAAAAATCCAGGACTGCCCCTCCTGGGGACCAGCGAGAATCAGACTCCCGGGGGATGGGGGGCCGCGCGAGGTACCGAAGTTGGATACTATCTTTCATGCTCTTAAGCAAAGCACGTGCGGTGCCCTCTGCAGTCTGTCCCTGTTTGCTGTGCATTTAGAAGACACGGCCGACACCTTGGAAGTGCCAGTCGCAGGCCTGAAAACACCAAAGGCTGGAGTCACACTCTCCCTAAGATTCTGTCACGGGGACAGCCTTGTAGTACAATTTCTAAATCATGACTACTGCTAGCAAATGCTGTGAACACTTGGTTGGCTTTAACCACTTATGTGTCTGGTGGCGCCCTTGTGTGTCTGGTGGGAACGTTAACGTCTCCAAAGTCGTGCAAGTTTCGATTGTGTGCAGGTGTTGTTCCATGAAAATCATATCAAGACGCCCTAACACACTCCGTTCCCTAGTTTTCTCCAGGTTCTGCGTAAGCAGGAGGATATGAGCCAAAATCTTAGAGTCTTGTGTGTCTTCATCTGGCTCCCTGCATCCACCAAACACAGGGAAGTGCAGTGTTTGCTACAAGTGAGGCGTTCATTGTTATTACTATTGCTATTAGAGCCAGAAGATGATAAAAAAAACTTTCACAGTCTGTGGAGTAGCCACAAGAGAAGCCTCAACCCTATGTTCCCCAACCCGGAGGGAGACAAAGGGACCTGCGCTGAGAAAAGGGCCTCAGCCCTAAAGCTCCTCTGAAGAGAGGGCAATGGTCTGTGAGGTAGGCTCTGACCTTTGACAGTATATGCTCAACTGCTCCGATTTTTTTTTTTCCCCTTCAAAGGCTTCAGGAAGTTGTTACTCTTCTTCAAGCTGAGTCATTGTTCTGAAACTCTAATCCTGCCCACGTGCTGAGTCCGCCCTCTCCTCCTTGGGGGGGGGGGGGCGCTTGAAATTCTGGGGTTTGCATAGTGTTACATTCTAATGTCTGATTACTATCAAAGGAATCCTGATTAGGGTACATAAGCGATTAAATTATATTACTTATTAATAAGATTAACAGTTGTGCTGAAGGGGGTTTATTACTATGTTTAATGGTTTGAGGCCTTTACCAGTAACTGCAAATTTCTGTAAGCCTTGTTTCTCCCTTAAAAATGTAATGCACACTTAGAAGTAATTATGGCAGAAGGTGCAAAGAAATGAGAGATATGCTGCCTCTTAAGGTTTGAGGGCCCTTTTTAGAAGCCACCTGGACAGTGCCACAGAGCACGACACTATCAAAATTAGACTTTTTAAGTATGGGTAGAGAATAGATGCTGCTCCTGTGACTTCCCTCAGCTCTCTTAGTGTAAGTGTCTGAGGAGAGCAGTGGTACTGTAAATCACTGGCTTGTAGCCAGTGCGCATCTTCCATTCAGTTGAATGGGTTCTGTGAACAGCAAAAAAACCACTGTATCCTCGTGAAACTGAAACCACACCAAAGGCTTTGCTTCCTTCAGGATGAACCGACCTCTGGGGTGTCTAAAATGCTTTGAAATGTTTAGCCCTGTTTTACAAACTGGTAACGGATGTCATTTGTTTCAATGGCTTATAATATTAACTACATCATCTTACATATAAAAAAAAATTTTTTTTTTAACTACATCTCCTCTCCTACGGTACTTTCTCTAAAAAGATAATCCTGTCCTTTCCAGTTTTTCCTGACCAGTTAGTTTATGGGGATTCTGTGCTTGTCGAGGCTAAGTACCTTCCTTTTTAGTGGTTATCCTAGTTTATAAATAATCCACGTTAGCATCTGTCTGTAGCCTAGGCCTCAAGTCTCTGTGGAAGTTACCACTATCTGTATTACACAGATGAGAAACCGAAGCTCAGCTATTCACAGTGTGTCTCAGTCCGGTGCAGCGGGCTTCACATACGAACATGGCAAGACAGGCTGCTTAGATCAGCGCCATGTGTCCTGGTCTTGAATATCACTTTTCAAACTGTCCAGCTGACATATGAATGAATATGATTTTACAAAAAGAGAAGAAAATCAATTTAGCCTTTGATTCAGTAAACCCTGAAGACCTAGACCATGACAGTTATTGAGAAGCTTCTAGAAGCTGTGGGTCATAAGGAAGCTGTTCGAGGGCTGGGGTTTGGACATTGGCCAAGGAGGTATAAATGAGTGGCAGGACTTTGGGAGACTGGCTGCTTACGCATCTCCCCAAACCGATCCATCGCACAGTGACCAGCTCCTTTCCAGTTCACTCAGCCAGGAAATGATTCCAGCAGGGGCCAGGGAAACGAGCCACCCCCAACCCCCACACTTTGGTTTCTTACTGTTTAAGGTTCCTGTTAGGATGTGCCAGTGTTCCAGAACCCACAAAGCAAGTTGACACCATATTTAATTTGGAGTAACAGTCTGTAATTTAGAAAGAACATTTTTTGTGTACACTGTAATTCTGAATCTTTACAAAACCCCTGGGAGAGGAGGGCGTTATCTTTTAGCAGTGAGAACTCTGGGCTGTGATGGGACTTGGTTGGAAGGATGTTTGTCTAGCATGTTCATCACCCTAGGTTTGATCTCTGGCTTCAGAAAACCAGCATGGTGGTCCATGCCTATAGTTCAAATCCTAGAGTCATGAGGATTTGGTCATCCTGGGTTACACAGTGAGTTCTGTGTTAGCCTGGGATACAGGAGACGCTGTAGGGGGATGGCGGGGGTGGGGGTGGGGGAATAAGGGACTAGGACTAGTGCCTTGCCTTGCTAGTCAGTGGTTTATTCACAGTGAGTGTGAATGAAACACAGCGTTTTGGTGACTGGGAAAACCAATTCCTGACGGTATCGGATGTCCAGGGTCTCACATGGAGCCTGGTCTATGAGTTTAAGATTGTGTTTTAGAAAAAGTTTCCTTCACATAAATCCATGGAGATGAGTGGCTGCCGCCTCCCTGTTTACGAAAGCATGTGATTTTGTCATTGGCAAATGAGCCTGCGTTCATGACAGTAAGCACAGGATGACTGCCATGAAACCAGCGCATGCTGACATCACATGTATCGGTTGACTCATGCTGAATTTCTCAGTCAGTTCGGTCAGTCAAGTCACCTTGCTAAACTCCAGTCCTGCTTTGCTTCATTTGTTCGGCCACAGCAGAGATCTCCTTATCATTGGTGTCTCGGGGGAAGGAAATTTCTGCAAAGTCAGTTCCTCACACAGCTGGTGGGTGGTTTGCAGTTTTGTGAGCTGCTGGTTAGGGACGACTGCCCGCACCTGACATTTTATATTTCCACCGCCACGGCAGGCTCATGAGACACCTGCAGGCTGGGAGACAGGCGGAGATGCTCCAGTTTTATGCTTATGAAAATTCTTACTACAATGCCTCTGCCAAAGCCTGCTTAGGGTGCTGTGAAATTGTCTAGAAGCTCCGCCCAGTCAGCTGCATTGTGAGGGTGTGTTCTTTTCCAGTTCGAACAGGTAACACATGTTGGCTGTTCCTTGGATCCTAGTCCATTCAGAACTGCCAACAAGAGAAGAGTCATCACCTGAGTTTATTGAAATTGTGTTTATATATGTCTATCCCAACTACTGGAGAAGTGATAGAGAGGCAGGCAGTATTTAAGGTTCAGTCTCTAATGCAAACCAACAGGAAAGCTACGTCGGTAACATTTTGTGAATCGAGTTTTAAGTACAGCGATAGTCGATAAACAGTGCCAATGGTCTTAAACAAGCCAAGCAATGAAGAATGCTGGCTTAGTATGCATGAAGCTCTAGGTTCCATCACCAGGACTGACAAACCAGGCATGGGCTATGTTTGTAATGCCAGCACTCAGGAGGGAGAAGCAGACAGAGCAGAAAAGTTCAAGTGTATTCCAAGCTAGCTTGAGCTACAGGAAGAGGTCCTGTCTCAAAAAAGAAGAGGTAGGTGTGTGTGTGTGTGTGTGTGTGTGTGTGTGTAACAAAACAGTGTTGTCCTGGCTAGTTTTAAAGAAAACGACACAAGTTACAGCCATGTGAGAAAAGGGACTCTCATTGTGAAAATACCTCTATTAAGATGAAGCTGTAGGGAGCTGGAGAGATGGCTCAGAGGTTAAGAGCACTGCTTGCTCTTCCCTAGGTCCTGAGTTCAATTCCCAGCAACCATGTGGTGGCTCACAACCATCTGTAATGGGGTCTGATGCCCTCTTCTGGCATTTGGGTATACACGTGTATAGAATACTCATATATATAAAATAAATAAATCTTAAAAAAAAAATCAAGCTGTAGGCAAGATCTCCACCTTCCTAATGCTGCTGGAACCCTTTCATACAATTCCTCACGTTGTGGTGACCCTCCCACCCCCACAAACATAGACTCTTAGTTTTGCTACTGTTATGAAATGTCGTATAAATCTGTGTTTTCCAATAGTTTTAGAGGACCCCTGTGAAAGGGTTGTTTGATCCCTAGAGGGGCTGTGACCCACAGGTTTAGACCAATTGCGTTAGGTCTTTTCTTTTTTTAATTAGTGATCTGTGTGTAAGAAAGCAGTGCATTGTGGGTGGTGCCATGCTTAGGCTGGGAGTCCTGGGTCAGGCTGAGCAAGCTGTGAATGAGCAAGCAAGGAAGCAGCATTCCCTGCGGCCTCTGCGTCAGCTCCTGCCTCCAGGTCCCTGCCCTGTGGCCTCTGCGTCAGCTCCTGCCTCCAGGTCCCTGCCCTGTCTCAGCACCGGAACTTCCTGATGTGATGAATTGTGATATGGAAGAGTCTGGAAAACAAACCCTTCCCTCCCCAGGTTGCTTTTGGTGATGGTGATGTATCACAGCAATAGAAACCATGATTAAAACAAGCTCCAGAGGAGGTATTAATCTCCTTAACCGAAAGGAAGGGGGAAGCTGTGAACAGTTTCTACCCAGGGGAAAGGGTTTGCTAAAAGATCCTATGTATAAGGAAGAAAGCTGTAAGAGCAGCAAATGAAAGACCCATGGTAAATAGAAATATGTATCGCACTGGCAACTTGTATTATGTATAAAGAAGTTTTTCTGATGCTCCCCGCCCCCGTTGCTTGCTTGCCTACTTGCTTGCGCTCTCTCTCTCTCTCTCTCTCTCTCTCTCTCTCTCTCTCTCTCTCTCTCTCTCTCTCTCCACACACACACACACACACACAAACACACACACCCCACCCCTGCTGGACATCATACCCAAGGTTTTACAAACTGAAGTGCATTCTGTATGGCAAAGCCCTATCCCTAGCTCAAAACAGCCTTTTTATACACAGATGAAAGGTGTTCCCCCCCCCCAAGGATGTGTCCCTTTTCATCTGTTGTGTTAGCTCCACAGACTCACTGCCTTAACCGATTACTGTAAACGAGCCCTTTTTAGAACAGCCCTCATCCCTCAGTCATCTCACATTTAATACGAGCTCGAGTGTTAGAATGGAATCTGGTCTGTGAGCATCTGTGCATCATTTCTCTAAACACGGGAGTCATAATTAGAGTTTCTAATTATAGACATCTCTCACTCGTGCCAGCTGGGCCTCCTTTGTACCTACTGGGCTCATGTATCTGCCGGAGGACAGTACTGTAATCCAGGGGAACTGGGGGAAGCTCTTGCCCTGCCTTATGTTGTGGCCAGGTTTGTTCATACAATTACTTTTACTGGTTCTTAGAGACAGGCCGTGAGTGTCACAGTGTCACCCCTAATAGCTGCATGCTATTTTGGGGGTTGACAGGTGGGTGATGGGGATGAGAATGGGGGGGTCCTGGGGTCCATGGCCAGTGGTCTGTGTTAGAATGCCTGCCCGTGGCCTCATGCTCTGAGGTCATCTGTCACTATTTCTTTACAAAAGCTGGAAATGTGGTCACTTTAACCTGTAAGAAAAGTGACCTTGAGAGAGAAATCTCTTACATAGGTGAGATGTTCTTCTTTTGCTTTTCATGATTCAAATGCCCTAGGTTTGTTCTCTGCATGCAATAAGTGTGTGTGTGTGTGCGTGTGCAGTAATGAATAAAGTGTTCTATGTTATAATCCGGGTTTTACACCAAAATCTTTAAGAGGCTTTCCCTGTAAATTTGAGAAAAGGCAAAAACCCCATCCCTGCAGCTGTCTAGTATAGAACCAGAAGGCATCAGTCAGTGCCATAAAGAGACGACAACTGTATTAAAGACACAAAGGTTGTTTTTTTTTTTAATTTAAGGATGGTATGATCATCTAAGAAGAAATGATAGTCACGACAGGACAACTGTTAGTATTTAATGCTATCGATACTGCCAGCTGTAAGCTGAGCCCGCAAAAACAGCACGTCTCAAGCGGTAATAATTGACCAGACTAGAAGTGTAATTACAGTCTTCTGCAGCGATATCCACCAGGTCTCTAGAGCACTCAGAAATCCATAAGGCTTCTGTAAAGAATATTTAAAAGCTAATAAATAATATATAAAACTGAAGAAAACGAGGGCTGGAGAGATGGCTCAGTGGTTAAGAATACTGATTGCTCTTCCAGAAGTCCTAAGTTCAATTTCTAGCAACCACATGGTGGCTCACAACCATCTGTAATGGGATCTGAAGCCCTCTTCTGGTGTATCTGAAGGAGAGCAACTGTGTACTCACATAAATTAAATAAATCTTAAAAAAAAAAAACTGAAGAAAACAAGATGTAAATTAAATTACATTGTCATAAAGGATGTCAAATTTCCCCCCATTTTAAAAAAAGAAATCAAACTTTGTACAGTTTATATGGAGGAATAAATATCTATGTTATCTTTACAGAAGATTTTGGGGGAGGCTGTTCTACCAGTTATTGCAGGGGATGGAGCCCACAGTGCTGTAAAGCAGGTGAGCCGTGAGGATAGCCAGTGTACTGACGGGAGAGGTTTAAAAGTGCACTTTGTATAGGTAGCACAGGATCTGATATAATGCCAGAATCTATTTTGGTGGACTAACAAATACTAGGAAGGTAAAAGTATTACAGAATATGGGAAAATACTATGACCAGAATATGAGAAAGGCAACTAAAACTTCAAAGGTATAAACTCCACACAAAGCCACAGTAGGCTAGAAACTCTTCCTATCTTCAGGAATCAGAGGCAGGAAGGCTAGCCTGCAGCATGCTGGGAAATCCTGTTGCAAAATAATAGTAATAGTAGCAGCAGCAGCAGCAACAACAACAGCAACAACAACAACAACAGGATTTGAGAGATGGTTCAGTGGTTAAGAGCACTGGCTGCCATTGTAGAGGGTCTGGTTTGGTTCCCAGCACCTATCATAACCATCCATAACCCCAGTTCCAGGGGAGTCAAAGCCCTCGTCTGCTCTCTGAAGGCACATATACAATGCACTTGCATGCATGCAGCTAAACCACTCAGGCACATAACAACAAATCTGTAATTAAGTAAATTGAGGCTCCCTTAACTGGGTAGGCTAACATATGCAGGATATCCCAGAGCTTGAGACTGAAACAGAGCACAGGGCCACCCTGGGTAATACAGTTATGAGTTTATCTCGGGGGGCAGGGGCAGTATCTCTTTGTCGAGGGCCATCCTGAACAAAGCTCACAGGGCAGTTGATTATGGCTTATTGTGTCTGACCAGTAAGGAGTCAATGTGTTGAGCATACAGACTCCGGCTCAGTGTAAGCGTGAGTGGCTGTCTCTGAGTGGTCAGAGTGAAGAGAATCAGACGATCTACACAAGACACAGAACGCAGCAACGATACCCAGGAACCAGGTGGTTCTGAAGAGTAAGTTGGAGAGAGATCAAGAGGGAGACAGAGAGAGAGAGAGGGGCGGATACAAATTCAAAATGCAAAAGAACAAACACAGATTTTTAAAGAACAAGTCCACATAAATGAAAATGGGCTCTAACGTTGCCCTCAACAGGAAACAGCTGAGCAAACAGGAGCGAGAAAGAATAGCTCGTGCCTGAGGCCCAACCACTGAGTCAGGAGGATTGCTGCAAGTTCTAGGCTTGCCTTTGACAAAACAATTAACACCCAGGGAAGAAATTTTTTTTTTAAAGTTATACCATTTACTTTTCTTCCTTCTGAGACAAGGTTTCTCTGGTAGCCCTGGCTGCCCTTGAATTCTCTCTGTAGACCGGGGTGACCCCAAACTCAGAGGTCCACCTTCCTCCGATTAAAGGCACGTGTCATCTCACCTGGCAACTGAGTGATACATTTTTTTAAACAGCACTCTTGCTGTCCTTCATACTTGAGCTGATTTAGACGGCAGCTGAGGAAAATGAACAGGAAGGACACTGTCCCTATAATGACCGTCTTGTTCTGCCAATTCACACAGGGTTGAAGCTTTGAGAGACGCAGCTACTGCTGTTGAACAAGAGAAAGAAATCCTTCTGGAGATGATCCACAGCATCCAGAACAGCCAGGACATGCGGCAGATCAGCGACGGTGAGGGCTGCCTTGTGAGCCTAGGGAGTCTGGGATAAGCTTGCCTGTCTTCGTTCGGTGTGCCTAGCCCCATTCAGCATTAATGGCAGCTGGAGTGGCGGCTGCGGCTGTCATTCCGCTGTCTGTCAGTGATCTTCGTTTTAGTGTGCTTCCCACACTGGCAGGGGTGGTGGGAGAAGGCCTGCGAGCTCCAGCAGGGCGGGCAGGTAGTATGGCCTTGCAGCTCACCTCAGGAACACAGCCTTTTACAAGGTCCTGGACTACAGGTACAGTAAACGCTGAGTGACTAGGTGAAAGTAAAGACGGATCAGGACGATCTGAGGTGTGGCAGGCAAATGCACTGTCACGGTCCTCTGAGCAGGAAGGCATCTGGAGAGAGTGGGCTAATGAGCCGTGGAAATAAGCAGCTCAACTCCCAGACCCAAAATGCTCTCCATCCACAATGGGTCCTGCCCAGCCTGTCTATTCACCAGCGTGATGAAAGACCAACGGGTTAGAGAGTTCTGGAACGGGAAAAGAAAGGAGCTGTTGATGGTTTTGTGTAAATCTTGAAATGTTCCCAGAGTTCATGGCCACCACAGCTTCCGGTCACTGGCAAAGATCACACTCAGGGTCAGCCTGAGTATGTCTGCAGGGGAGAAGGCCAGGACTTGCTGGGGAGCCTACTGGCCCTCTATTGTCATTGTTCCTTCTTGGCTGACAGTGGGTAGTGTGTTCTGGCAAACATGCACGGGCTATGTGCAGCGTCAAGCCCCTAGTGCCCCCACCATGAGCCCTAGCCATCCTCCTAACTAAACTGTGCTTGCTCAGTATTTACTCCATCCCAGCTGTCCGTGCCTCTGGCTTGTGTGGACATACAGACTCAGGATGATAGCTGGCCCTTTCTGTGTGAAGACTTCCGGGGAAGGAATTCTCCGCTCTGTAATCCAACACTTCCTTGGCTATGCTGATATGCTGTAGTATTTATGGCTCTTACCTTTCGAAAAATTCACAGATGTGCTTGCAGAGAATAAAGATAGTGCAAGTGCACGCCTCGACACTGCTGCCTCATACTGACTGATGTTTCGTGTTTAGGAGAAAGAGAGGAACTAAACCTGACTGCCAACCGTCTGATGGGCCGGACCCTCACTGTTGAGGTCTCAGTGGAAACGATCCGAAACCCCCAGCAGGAGGAATCCTTAAAGCACGCCACGAAGATAATAGACGAGGTAGTCAGTAAGTTCCTGGATGATCTGGGGAATGCCAAGAGCCACTTAATGTCACTTTACAGTGCGTGCTCCTCTGAGGTGCCACCTGGGCCGGTTGATCAGAAATTTCAATCAATAGTCATCGGTTGTGCTCTGGAGGATCAGAAGAAAATCAAGAGGCGCCTGGAGACTCTGCTGAGGAACATTGACAACTCCGACAAGGCCATTAAACTGTTAGAGCATGCTAAAGGAGTTGGTTCCAAAAGCCTGCAAAACACCGACAGCAAATTTAACTAGCCTTCAAATCCACAGGCCCTTACAAAAGATGTAGAAAAGAAAACTACTATTTTAAATAGCTCCGTCTTTATGTTAGGCATAACCACTTAATTGATACTGGTAATTATTTCAGTTGGGAAGTATTCCAGTGTCAGCAGACACACCAATAACACTTAACACTAGGAGTATTTCAGTCACCTACTTTGACGTTTTGGACAGTGTTCCCGTCTTGAACTGGACTCTAGCACTGTATATCTAACTTCTGAAGATGCACGCGCAGTGTGTGTGGGGGGAAATAAAACGGGTAGGGGCAGCAAAAATACCACTGCCCTTTCCTTGACTTCAGCACAGGGTACCCAGACCCTGGGGCAGTGCACTCACACCACAGTGTGAACAGAGCACCCAGCCCTGGAGCAGTGTACTCACAACCCACAGTGTGCCTAGAAGGATAAACACATCAGAACTTCACCCTGCATGTTCTCCATGTTTTGGGCATCTGTTTTCTCTATGCAGCTCATACCATGTAATTTTAGGTGTGCGTGGAAGCATGACGAAATATGAGGAGCCTGCCTTCATTTTACCACTGTGAAGCTCTGGGCCCCCCCCACCCTGTGTGCCGCAGGGCATCTCTCCAGGGCCAGGGCTGACTGCCTTTACGTGCCGCCTTGAGCTCATGCGTGTGCAGCGGGAGCACTTACCCAGCCACTTCTCTGTGGACAGTTGGGTGGTTTCAATTTGTTGCTGTGACTTCAACATACTTATGTCCGCTGAGCTCTATTCGGTTCTTGGTCTTCTTTGTATAAAATTCCATTAATGGGTTCATCGGGCCAAAGGATATATACATTTTCATGGCCTAGAAACATATTTCTAAACTTTTATAAGTTATATCAATTTGTACTGTCTTCAGTAATTAAAAGAATCCATTTCGCTGAACTTCTAGCACTGGGCATCATTTTTCTACCATCAGACTACAAAGCCCTCTATTTCATGGGTCCCTTGTTTCCTAAGAAGGCCGGCTAGCATGGTCATCTTCCTGAGTTCTAATTAAAAGTAAATATGCTGGCGATGCACCAAGCCCTCAGCTACTCGGACCTCCTACATTGAAATGAACCATTTCTAACTCAACTTCTATTGGGACGTTGACATTTTTCATACCAAAGACAAAGTCTTATATGGACTGTTATCCATGTGGACATTACTGAGCTGAACTTTCTGTCCCGAAATGCTAAGTCTCGATGGAAAGCTGTCCCAACCCGAGGCTAGCAGGCTTGATGCCTGTCATCCGGTCCTTCACCAGCTTCTTAATCTTTAAAAGAGTACACATATTTCCCTTAGGTTCTCAAACGTCAGCGTCTGATTCCCTTGCACCCTGGTAAGATATGCCCAGCTCTCCAGTTCACTCACCCCGTACCCATCCGAGTTTCCATCACAAAGTCTGCCCACCTCCTTGACCTTTGTATTTCCTGCAGCATTATTTTTCATTCCCTCCCCCCCCCCCCCCCCCCCCCCCCCCCCCCCCCCCCCCCCCCCCCCCCCTGCCTATCCCCCCCCCCCCTCCTCTCTCTCCCCCCCCTCTGTGTGTGTGTGTGTGTGTGTGTGGTATACACCCATACCCACAGAGACCAGAAGAAGGCATGCGATATCCTGGAGTTGGAGTTACAGGCAGTTGTGAGTTGCCCGACGTGACTGTAGGACAGTCTTCGGCTAGCCCCATTAGTTCTGCTTCCCAAGACTCCTCTCTACAGACCTTGCTCTTATGAAGCTGCTCTCTGCCTTTACTGTTAAGGACGGCTCTGTAGTGTGGGAGCTCGCAGGACCTACAAGAGATGCTGGGAGCAGCCCATGCAGACTCATCTACGATCCGCAGAGTGGTCTTTAGGCTTCCGTGTCCCCCGGGGTTGTCAAATGGGAGCCGGGGGAGGCTCGGGCCACAGTGGGGAAGATGCTAGACTGTACCACAAATTAACCACTTAAGCTGTGGTTCTCAGCCTTCTTGGGACCTTGAGGGGTGGAGCAAGAGTTCCATCGGGCTCAGGCTGCAGGGGCAGGGGCAGGGGCTCCAGAGAAAGCCTGACTCCCTGGGAGGGGAGGAGTAGAGGGTGTGAGGCAGCTCCAGGGTCTACATTAGAGCAGCTAATACAGTATAAACAAACACTCCAAATCCAATATATTTTATATATATATATAAATTGTTCACAGGAGCATGAAGTACAGAATGGAGGTCGGTCCATGCCCTCATTAAAGTGTTTAGACTTCACCCTAGAAGTGATTGGCTCATGGGTATGATGGTACAGGCCTTTAATCTCAGCACTTAGGAGGTAGAAACAGGCAGACCTATACTGAGTTGAAGGTCAGCCTGGTCTACATAGTGAGTTCCAGGCTAGTCAGGGCTACGTAGTGAGAAGTGGTCAACTCTTGTGGAGTTTCATTTTCCATGATCATTATTATCTCTTATGAGCCTGGGTGTTTTGCCTGAATGTATAGGCCTGTGTCTTTGGAGCGCACTGATCCCCTAGGACTGACATTACAGACAGTTGTGTGGGTTCAGGGAATCAAGCTGGGGTCCTTTGCAAGAGCAGCCAGTGTGCTTAAGCAGTGAACCATCACTCCAGCCTGAGTTCCATTTTGAAACTGGAAAAACAGCAAAGAATTTACCAGCCACGGCTGTTACAGCAACAGAGTAGTTGATGAACTGAAAGCACAGAGGGGTTTGAGTGTCACGATTGGTCATTTTCAAAAGCCCAATTCTTGACAAATGCTGATACATCTCAAGTCTGTCTATACGATGCTATTTTGAAAAGCTGGGCAATACAAATACCCAAGCATGCAAAATGAGGTAGAAGCAGCTAGCTGCAGATGTGCAGGGGGTAGCATCAGGGACATGAATGAGTTTAAACTTAGCTGTTCTTTGTTTGTTTATAAAAGGAAATGAGACGAAACGGACAGAGCAGAATGTTCTGCAGGGACGACGGTGTGAACAGCCAAGGCACCTTTTGGCCAGCAGAGGGCGAGTGGTTGAGATCTTGCCCTCCCATCCATAAGGAGGTGATGCTGGTTTGTGAGAGAGGTATCAATGAGAGAGGGTGTCTGAACGAGGTGTCTGACACAATGAACTAAAGTAAGCTCTATGGTTAATTTACACCAGAAGGTACAATAACAGATGGGAGACCCAAAGCCTCAAAACAAGAACATGACTCTTTTAAAGGCTAGTAGTGAAAGTGTTTGTAGCAAAATCATTTAAAGCGTGACTATTAGGTGACACGGAGTAACCGGCACCCAGACCGTGAGCACATCAGTGTTCAAAGTAGCTAGGTGGAACATGCCAGTGAACTCTGTAGCCAAGGATAGCCTAGCACTGCCCCACACCTGGCTCCTTTGACCATTCCGCCCCACACTGCTGGCTCATATCACACACACCACACACAGTAATTCTAGCTTTGAAATGGTTTATTTTTTTTTGGTTACTGGAATTCATCTTTGTGGAAATTTTAATCAAGTAGTACATTTTTCGATTAACCCCAAAGGTGTTAAGTACCACTCAATAGGAATACATACAAGTAGTTTTCCATTTGGATTTACAAAAGCATTATTAGTAACAAAAATATAGAAGGGGTTAAATTTTTCCTTTGATCCAAAGTTTTTTTTTTTTTATTTTTAAAATACCATTTGTCAACATCTTACTATAGGTATTTCAAGAGACAACAGAAAAGTAGTAACTCTTGTGGCCGAATTATTCTGCCATCTGGGCGTTGGCTGCCTGGGCATTTCAGACCCTGCTGGGGTTTTGTTTACCTGTGTGCAGATAACTTCATTTGTATGACAGATTTTTTTTAGGTTTTATATGTGAAACTCTTAAGAGCAACACGATGTTCATAGTAACTGTTAGTGTGAATAAAGCCACCTGCTCACCTAGGGCGGTGGAGGTCAAAGCTCCCTCTCCCACTCCCCCTATCCCCCCACCCCCGGGGCTCCCTGCAGCCAGTCAGCAGCAATTTTCTCTGAGGTGCTCCCAGGGCACCTCACAGTAGCCACCAGAATCCTCCAAAGGCAAGTAACATCTCAGACTACAAGAGCACTTCAGGGTGCTGCATCAGGCCAACTTCTCATCCTATGTCCTCCGAAAGACCCCAGTCCCTAGTGGCAGGCACAGTAGGGCCACACCTGAGTTCTCAGCACTGCCTACACAAGTCAGGAGTATTCCCCCAACTTCACCCGGCAAGGAAGGGGTCACACATCCTCTCTGTGTTAGTGCTAGCTGGAATTTGAAATCTCCATGTGTACTGTCACCTTGAATGGACAAGAGGAAACAGTTCAACCTGCTTTTATTTGAACTGCCGTATCTGGGTTGTTTTATATCTATTTCATTCATAGGCAGAGACTGGACGAAACCTGAGGAACTCTTAGATATGGCAATTATTCCACAGCTATGTGCCTGACACTAAAAACTGGTGATACTGCAAAAAAGTTAACTGAGCACAAAATATCCAATGGCCCAGAGTCCTGGACAGCCTTCATCAACAAGAAGGTGACTCTAGAATTTCATATTAAAGTTCTTCAGCATTACAGTCATAGAAGAAACCGATAATGTGACTTTTGAAGATTTCAGAATTGAATGTATTGACAAATTAATATTACTTGTGGCTGATTTTAGACCTTTTAAAGTTAGGTATAAAACACAGTAATGCAAAGTAAAAATTCAAATGTGTAATGAACACTTCCATAAAAGAGATGGGTAAAACAAAACACATAAACTTCTGTTACAAATATTAAGGAAGGCGTTGAGGATTTAGCTCAGTGGCAGAGCGTCTGCCTAGCCCTGGGTTTGGTCCTTGGTTCCAAGCGCGGAGACAAAATAACAAACATTAAGGAAACTGCAGCGGTCACCAGACACTATTTATAGAGACACAGCACACACCTTTTTACCACCCGTTTAGTGACTGTACATAAAGCTACGGTGTTCTATAAGGAATGAATTTTCTGCCAATGCCACTAAAAGTGGCAACTGATTTATTTACCAACCAATTTACTTTGTGCAAAAACTGAAGAGTCTGTATTTGAAGAGAAAACTGGTGACTCACAGTGGCACCACCGTGAGGAGCCCAGCCCCTCGCCTCACCCCGGCAGTGGGGGCGCTAAGGCTGACTGCACAGCTCACCTGGATGGCTTGGGATGCGCAGTGTGAAAAGCAAGCATGCAGCCCACCATGGAGCAAGGGTGCCAAGTGACCTCTGTGCACAAAACAGGAATCTGGGCAGGAGGGGTGGGACGACGAGGGTAAATGTAAAAAAAAAGACAAGAGAAATACAGGAACTATTTCTATATTTTAGTTAAAAAAAGAAAGAAAGAAAGAAAGAAAGGAGAAAGGAAGAAAGAAAAGAAAAGGACTTCATAGCACATGTTCCAAGAAAAAATCACTACTGTGGAAATGGGTTTTGATACTTTCAAAGCAAAATTACTGATTAAGAATAATGAGTTTTTAATAGAATTCATGACATTCTCTCTTTGGCAGGCTAGTATCCAACTCATTTTGACCTTCACTTACATACTGGGTCAGTTCTTTACAGATGCTTCTTTCTGATCCAAAGGCCACAGAAAAATTCAAGCAATAATCGTAAAATGCTATACCAAGTATGTAAACAAAAGGATGCTTTTGAGTTGCAGGGCTTCAGAAAATCTGTCATCAGGACCAAAGACGGTTCCCTTCATCTCCGAAGTTCAGAGTTTGGTCTCAAGTCAGCAGCCAGAAGCTAGTGTGCACACTCCATGGGGTCTTCTGAGTGGCTGCAGGCTGCTGTGTGTACCAGGCACAAGCTCACTGTGCTTACAGTGACCATGGAGAAGATTCTGGAAAATCCTACGAGGGACAGGACCTAGCACTCAGATGTTTATATTCCCTTCACCTACCTGTCGGAGAGGAACTGCCTTTACAAGATGCCATAAATACAAAGTCTAATAGGAAAGGACTGTAAAAATTAGGGGTAGTGTTTGGCACACGGTACACTTGCGTCCAAGTTCGTTCTGTAGTGTGTCCCAAAGTCTCATGTGAGACCAGAAACATACACAATAGTTGTACGAGTGAACTAATTAGAATCTGCACACCCTTTCCCAGGGCACAGGCCTTCTGTCCAAGCCAAGCGTCTGCATGCACACCCCCCCACAGTCCACACCTCACGGATATTGCACGAGTACTTCTAACAACACACACACCGGGGCAGTCTGACAAAGTCCGGGTTTCCCCTTCAGTATGTTCTTTAAGCATTTAGATTGAACATTCCAGAAAAGCTTGACAACCAGTTTCCGAACAAGAATGCTCGCCATCTCTCCTTGGTCTATCAGGGTAAAATGGTTACCAATGTAGTTAGTCATGTTGGTTTTGTTTTCAGCATTTAAAATTCAGCAAAACCTGTTTTTGACATTTCCTATGGTCTCTCTTCAAAAACAGGAGAAGCTTCGTCTAAGGTAAAAAACTAGAGTGAGTCCACAGGGCAGTAATTTTCCAGCAGAGGGCTCCGTCTACATTCTGAGAAGCGTGGCAGAACAACATTACAATGTCAGCTTTCAGAGCGAGGTGCGAGGCCCACTGATACACGCAGGACACACCCCGCACACGGTGCCTTTAACTACACGGTACCTTTAACTGCACGATGCATTCAGCCTTCTCCTCCCTAAAGCAGTTTAGGGTATGCTACAGCTGCTGAAAGGATTTCTGCTTTTCTTGGTCCTTTGTTTGTTAGGTCTAAGGTTGATGACATCTCCACCATTAAGGGAACTTGAATTCTGGCCCAAGTGACTTCCAACAGATGCATTAAAGACACCTGTATAAATCAGGGAAAGCACAGTGACTGATCCACCCCCAAGTCACCTGTCGTGTGCATATCATTTATTAGTAGCGTGAGATAGAGAATTCAGTACCTTGGTTGCTCTCATTTTTACTAGAACAGAAACAGCCTGAGCATGCAGGTCAACGTCCTATAACTCAGTGCTGCTATAACTGACTGCTACCCATCTCCAGTAACTTCATCCTGAGGCTAAACACCAAAACCCAAATTGGCCAACAGGTAGAGTGACCAGTGGGTGAGAGAGGAAGCTATTATATCCGTACCTTGACATGTGCTGTGCACACAACAGAACCGCTAACTCATGAACTGCAGAGCATTAAGCTACACAAAACCCTGGCATGGGCACCATCAGGGAAACAGACTCCAAGGCCAGCCGCTGCCCATGGGAGCTGCAGTCTAACAGGTGATTGACAGTAGACAGGGAAGAAA